AACTAGAGGAACTAATGTTCTATCAGAGGCCTTTCTCACCTAGGTGCTGTGGCCCTTTCATCTTGATTTTTTTCCCCTCTCAACTTTGGCTTGGCTTGCCAGAGGTCACATTTTTTTCCTCTGTTCTGAGAGCTTCTCAAAAAGAAATGTGAATCCCCACCCTGCTTTATGTTTTGTAGCTAGAATGTGATTGGAATGTGAGCAATGGAGAAAAGTGGGTTGAACATTCACGGGAACATACTGACTGTCTGATTGTCTCCTTTTAGATGAGGGCCATCTCTTTTTCCCAAAGAAGTAGTAATAACCCAAACCTAGGACCTGTAGAGATTTATTGAGCAACCTCATCCACAACATATCCTTTATTATTTCCATTTATCATTTCTTTAACACCTCATGCCTGCCCTATCCCACCTACACACACTTTCTGTTGGGAACACACACCACTTTAGACATGCTGGATTCTACATGGCCTCCTGAGTATTCTGCGTCCTGGACATTCCATCATTACTATGTCCAGGGATGCAGCAGAGAAGAGTGGCTAAAATCTTAGATGGCCTGTTCAAATCCTGCGTCCACCTTGGTCAAATCACTGTAAAGTAGAAACAGTGATAGTACCTACCACATAGTTGTTGGGAGGGACAAATGAGTTAATACTGGTAAAACACTAGAACAGAGCCTGCAATGTAGTGAGAACTCAGTGTTAGCTGGATCTAAATCCAAATTGCTTCCAATCTTCAAAGAGCAGATAACATCTTATCTCTTACACAAAATCTCTGACTAGCCTCATCTAACCCATGAAATCTCTTATTCTTTTGAAAGGATAACACAGATAGAGAGACTATCTTGATATCTGGGTTTAAATCTTGAAACAATAAGTGCTGTGGGACTTTGAGGGAGTTTAAGTCTTAGTTTTGTCATCTGTAAAATGGATATTATAGTATTATAATACCTTAACAGGGTTATTATGAAGTCCAAGTAAGATGAATGCTTAAAAAGCACTCAGGCAGGTCCTGACTCATGGTAGACCCTCAATAAATACACATGCTCTTTCAAAATATATCATTTAGAATTTTATGGATTGTGAAAGTGCAAGTACATGTCGATGGGCTAGGAAAGAATTGTATAGAAAATTTAGATGACATAGCACTGTATATAAAGAAAATTAAAATCCTCTCATAAACATCTTTCTGGAGCAACAGTTTCCCCAGCCAGTAACTCCTACTCTGGAAACTAAACACAGCCGGGTGTATTCCCTTTGGCTTCTCTCTGTCTCTCTGTCTCTGACTCTGTCTCTCTCTCTCTCTCTCTCTCTCTCTCTCTCTCTCTCTGTGTGTGTGTGTGTGTGTGTGCAGGCATGCACTCACACAGACATGCATATTTAGAAAAGAAAGGAATCCTATTATATACCAATTTTGCAGCCTGCTTTACTTTACATAGACGTTTCTCCATCTCATTTAATATTTTTCAAAGTGATTTTTATTCCATGTACATCTAAACAATCTAAACATAACTTATTTAACCATGACCCTGTTGCCCTATTGTTGGACACTGAGGTTTTTTTTAGGTTTTAGCTGTTCTAAATAATGCTGCATCAAAAATCTTTGTGTATGAATATTGTAAATATCTTTGATTACTTTGCCAAGAGAAATTCTTAGGAATAGAAATAGTGGGTCAAAAAAAACACACACACACATAAAAGGATGCAGGTATATATTGCCAACTTTTGCCTTACTGAAAGGTTGTATAAATTACAAACCTATCAACAGTGACCAGAGGAAGCCATCACATGTCACCCTTGCCAGTGCTCTGTTGTGTTGTTAGTTAACTTTTTGTCAGCTTTATCATTATTATTATTTTTTTGAGATGGAGTTTCACTCTTGTTGCCCAGGCTGGAGTGCAATGCCACGATCTTGGCTCACTGCAACCTCTGCCTCCTCGGTTCAAGTGATTCTCCTGCCTCAGCCTCCTGAGTAGCTGGGATTACAGGTATGTGCCACCATGCCTGGCTAATTTTGTATTTTTAGTAGAGACGGGGTTTCTCCATGTTGGTCAGGCTGGTCTGGAACTCCTGAACTCAGGTGATCTGCTCACCTCAGCCTCCCAAAGTGCTGGGATTAGATGTGAGCCATCTGCTTTATCTATTATCTTTCAGTCTAAATTATAATCTTCTTGAGCAGGCACTGTGGCCATCTGCTTCTTTGTACCTGCCTTTATACAGAACATTGCTTGGTGCCATTCACATAGTGGCGCTTATCAACATTTGTCAAGTGAATCGATTTCTATTCACAACTATTCCTGTGGGATTAAGAGCTGGAGAAGGGACTTGAACAATCACTTCCAAATTGATCAGATTTGAAATAGAGAGGTTTGTAGACTTGTCCTTGGTCTCCTAGTGAGATGGGTTAGGTAGAAAAGTATTAAATCACAGGTAGTTGACTGCTGTTCAGGGGACTCAGACAAGGGAGTAGGTCTAAGAGAGAAAAATGATCTGTTTTTCAGGGTCAGCTCTGCATCATGTTTGAAACTGACTTTCTGCACTGCTGTTCATTCTTTCTTTATAACTGGGTGTGGGGAGGGGTGGGATCTTCTTTGTACAACTCAGCCATACAGAATGAATGGAATTTTCCAGATGGTTCCTCTTGATGACTGTTGGCATAATGGCAGCTTTGCCCCCTGGGAGTAATTGGGCTGCAATCCCTGAAGCCTAGACAGCAGTTTCAGCAGGTCAGATTGTGGGATCTCTGTGTTTTTGTTAGCACAAAGAGCCACATGGGATTTCAAGCCATAAATACCGTTTTTATTTTCCTCATACAGCTCCCTACTAAATGCTTTGAGCAATGAGGCCAAAGTGAGGAAAGTGTCATAATCCTTCTCTCCTCAACACACATATACATCCATTCCAAAGACAGATTGTCCTGCCTTCGTCTTCCGAGTAGCTGGGACTACAAGCATGCGCCACCATGCCCAGCTAATTTTGTGTTTTTAGTGGAGTTTCTCCATGTTGGTCAGGCTGGTCTGGAACTCCCAACCTCAGGTGATCTGCCCGCCTCAGCCTCCCAAAGTACTGAGATTACAGGTGTGAGCCACACACCGCGCCAGCTGTCTGCTTTATGTGTTATCTTTCAATTCCTTGGCACTGGGCACCTTTCTGAATGAGAGTCTGGAGTAATCTTCTGGGAACAACACATGGCTTCAGAATTTTTCTGAATCTACATACCCACTGTAAAGATGAGTTGATGCTTCCTTTCTCCTACCCTGAGAGCCCCCCTCCTCCTGGGATAATTCTGTTTTTGTTTTCAGGCAAAAGAGGCTCTTAGAGTGTGAAAGTTTGCTGCAGATTTCAGGACATGTGAGCGCATAATATCTCCCTCTTATAATTTTCCCTGTTCATTTGTGAGTTGACCACTAATCTTCATAATACCCAGTAAACACAGTTGCCCAGGAGGCAGGTAAACCAAAGGGTTTAGGTTTGAATCTGGGCTGACACAATTTCTCATGGACGTGAAATTGTTTGCCTTACTGTGATGGGCCAGTTTGTTTTTTTCTTGTCTCTGTATCTATCACAGACATTATCTTCCAGAGCCTCCTTTCCTTAGAGCCACAATTTCTTTAACCTCCAGGTTGGAAGACTTCACCTGGGATTAGGAATTGTCACTGTGGTAGAATCATCCGCTAGTGTGCAAAGGTTGGAAAATGTTAGAACTTTATTTCCCAGAGTCCCTTGCAGTTAGGAATTTGTGGTTGAGGCTCTGCCGATTACATGCACTTTGTTGAGACTTGGATATGAGAGCCTAGCCATGTGTAGAAAGAGGGAGGGCAGTGGGGATGTGCATTTGATTTTGCAGACTGCCACAGTTGTGTGGTTCTGGAGCAGCCAGCTATGGCAATGGCTCCTCATTCAGCAGGCTGCTTCCTGAGCCAGCAGCTCCTTGGTGGCCCAGTTCTGTAGCATGGATTTGGAAGTCATTCCTGGAGTCAATCTAGAGTCACTTCCTTTAACTAGTCAACTCCCCTCCTTCATTAATGCTCCTGTAATAAATCCCACTTTGTAAACTTGCTCATATAATGCTTCAGCTGCAAAGCTGTAATTTGTTTTACATTGTTCATTTGTTGACTGAGACAAAATAAAATGGTTGGAATGTTTTTGTTGACTTTGATTTTATTATAGACTTTTTTCTACCAAAGCCAGTTTTGAACTGTCCTGTTCTCTTTTGCATGCTATTCCTTGTTATTATAGAGAACCTTATATTGTACTTTTTCCCAGAGTGAGATGGAAGTTTTTCCCAGTTATATTGACAGGTCCAATCATAAAAGTCCATCTTCTTTGACCTATTTACTCGGAACAATGCCATGTGCCAATTCATGGAATTCATATATCACCTCTCCATAAAAGCATAGAGTACTGTGTTATTAATAAACATCTAGCATGTGATGCACATATACCCTGAAGCTTGTAGCAGGCATAGAAAAGGGCTGGGAGAAACATTTTGCATTGATTATCTGTTAAGACATCAGTACTGACACTTCATTTTCAACAAAAGTGCACTGCCCTGTATATGAGTCATGCTTACCATATTTCCTGACATCTGGGAGTTGACTTAATAGATGCTAATGTGATGTTATCACCAACGTGTCATGCTACCCTCTTCTCCTTGGTTCTGTTTTTGCCCTAGGTTTGCTGACACTTTGCTATGAAAAATGGATTCAGACATTGCAGGAATGCAAAGTGCTGGCTAGAAAAGCACTGATTTAACTGGGCAGAACTGTGCCCAGTAATTATAAACTTAGAAAATATCTTCCTTCTCCCAATTCTTTGAGTCCTTCATATAGACACAGCTACAAGGGCAGAGCAATTAGAGAAGTCCGATTCCAAGCCTGAATGAAGAGTTTTCTCATTTTGCCAGTTCTGTGGGAAAGGTCTGCTGTGTGCTGGCTGCCCACGGGCAAGGTGCCTCTTGGGGAACAAGCATTTCTGAAAGAGCAACAAACTCTAACTCAGATTCAGAACTAAAAAAGAACTTATTTATTGAAGGCAAGGGAATGCAAAAAATACAAAAATCAAAAGCTTGTCTGGCATTTAACTTTTCTTTCTCTGCTCGTCAAATGGGAGTTAGATTTTATTTGTACACTTGCTAAGGGTCCTGATCTGCTCATGAAATCCTTATATGGGGGAAGCTGTGGGGCAGATTCCTTAAGTGACCCTTTGGGACAACTCTTATCAGGGCCAGGGGAATTGCTCGTTTCTGCCTACTTCTTTCCTTTCTGCTTCATGTGTACTACAAAATAGTCATTGCATGCAATGGTGAGGCCTGCAATTAGGGAAAAGAAGCTCTGGAAGCCCACTTTGCCGTCTCTGCACTGGTCCAGGTCCTTCATTATTTTGTCCACGGCCAGAGGGTCTTTTTGATTCTGAAAAAAAAAAAAAGAAAAAAAGAACAAAGGCAAGAGATATCAGTCAAAGGTTGCAATGATCAGCTTATTTGATTTGCACTGCTGAGAACTGTGTACACATCTCCCAATTATTTGAGCTCTTGTTTTAGTGACCTTTGGAGGTCATCCAAATGTATTTTTCTTTTTTTGCCTTGAGGGAGCATTTTAGTAATTTCATATTTAGATTCTGCCTAAGAACCACCCTAAACTCCTCATTCTGTGGTTTAAACTTACATTCTCTTATTAAAATTTTATTCCTAATAGCATGGTCAAATCCCTTAAAAAGAGAACTCCTCATGAAAAGATCTTTATGATTTAGGGAGTAAGTTTTGGATCATTGTCCTATGGACTTTAAAGAGGTATTAATGATGCCATGGGTTGTTTTAGGTTTGGAGAAGACAGCTCGCATTCTTCTTGGTCCAGCTGAGGCCAAGCTAGTGTGGCTTCATATCATATTAGCCGTGTGACGCTGAGTGAACCACACAGCTTAGTGGGCCTTTGCTTATCAACTATGAATTGAGGAGGTTGGACTATAATGTTTCTAGAATCCTTCCATTCTTTGAGTTGGTAAGTCTAATGCCATCCTATACTCTTTGCTGGATGTTGTATATTGGACCAGCTTCAAAAGGAGTATGTGTGATGGAGTCTTAAACTCCCCATGACTCTCAGTGCCTGGTAAGAATGTGTGGGACCCCCGGGTGTGGTGGGTGGCTCACACCTGTAATCCCAGCACTGTGGGTGGCCGAGGTGGGCAGATCACGAGGTCAAGAGACCTAGTCCATCCTGGTGAACATGGTGAAACCCCGTCTCTACTAAAAATACAAAAAATTAGCTGGGCGTGGTGGCACGCACCTGTAGTCCCAGCTACTCAGGAGGCTGAGGCAGGAGGATTGCCTGAACCCAGGAGTGGAAGGTGCAGTGAGCCGAGATTGCACCACTCACTCTAGCCTGGTGCCTGGGGACAGAGCGAGACTCTGTCTCAAAAAGAAAAAAAGAATGTGTGGGACAGAGATGGGCAGGCAAGATCCCCTTTGTTTTCATCTTGCTTCCATAGTGACTTCATCATTCCTTTTTGTAGTGATGCTGGTCGGAAGTGGGAGGTTGTGGTTTCTCCTCCATGCCATCAACCACAGAGAGAAATATGGCTTGTTTGAGGTTGTTAAAGGGCTCAGGTAAAGTATTTATGAATTCTGATGACTATATTCATGAGTGAGGGAAATTATACTCAGTGTTTCAAGTGTGCTAGGTGTTTCTAAATTGCACTTGGAAATTCCTAAAAGTATAGCAGCAGCATTTCCCACATGAGCACTGCAAACTCCTACTATAGCTAAACCTGCCCTATGCAGCTGTTGGTGGGTTTCAGCTAATTCTGGCCTCACCCTCAGCTTCCTGGCTGTGGTTGGAATGAGTGAAATCTGGATGACATAAGGGGTCTACTTTAGAAACAAAATGCTCTGTTAATGCAGTGAGTGTAGGTGTTTGCAGAATTATGACCCTGTGCCTGGAATAAATTACCCTGCTGTGTTCAGTGCTCCACACTACATATACCTTTTATGTGTCTCATGCCACAAAGCCTTTAGGAAGAAAAGGTCTGTGTCTTATGTGATATTCACTCTGTCTTCTAACACTCTTAACAAGTGTTTAGTGTACTGAGAATGCCTTTGTCCATAGGATGGGCAGGCTTACAATGAGCACATTTTGTCCTTGCATCTTACTGCTTGGCTTGAATATCATAGCAGGTGAAAGTGACATTTCAGATAATTATGTTCAGCCATCTCTAGTTTTACAGGGAGGAAACTGAAGGCTAGAGAGCTGATGCAGCCTGCTCATTTTTAGTTAAGGCAGAGCCAGATCTTTTAACTCCTTTTCTGGGGCTGTATCATGGGACTCTACAAAAGCAGAGGACCTGCATATTCTAGCTCATTCTGCGATAGCATTAGGTAACTGCAGCTCTGAGAGAGTAGTTAGGCTATTTATATCTATTTATTTAACTGGTATTGATGACGTGCAAATTATAGCATACTAAAAAGCCTCATGTTTATTGATTGCAGGAGTCTGGGGGTTGACTAATGTGCTATTTACCAGGCAGATGACAAGAGGCAGGACCCAACCTTTTACCGGTATCCCCTCTCACACTTTAGAGGTTAATGCATTATTCAACACCAAGCGCGGAAACCATCTTTTTAGGTGACTACAGTTGTGGCAGGGAAAGAAGGGCTTGCATTTCAGTCTACTATTTTGTCATGCAATGTTTCACCTTTAGTTGAATTCAACAGCCATCTCTCAAGAACCTGCAATGTAAAAGGACAACTATGCCTTATGGCTCCATGTCCTGAGTGAGTGATATGTCTGAGCTGATGGCAGAGTCCTCTTTTAGTCCTCATGCATCTCTCCATCTGTCAACGGTGAGGCATACACTCAAACTGCTCCTGTGTTCTCAGAGCATTATTATATGAAAGGAGTTATTTCTGGAGTGATATGTGGCTCCTAATCAGTAGATGACTGACATTGCTCCTTTGTAGTATTAGAAAAAGAAAAAACAATCCCTTTATCTGAAGAGATTTAAGAATGGAGATTCATGTTGTTCAAAATGGAATGTGACCAGGATGTGGCATCTCCTACCACCAGGTTTTTGGACCTGAGGCTAGCCATTTCTAGTTGACTCCTCTTTTGTGAAAAGCCTTCTTTCTCCCAACTCTGTCCCCCACATCATCACAATCGACACAGATAACCAGATGGAATTTTCCAACCAACAGTTCATATTGTGGTTATTTGTATGTAGTCTTATTTCACCTGCATACTGTAAGCTCCTTGAAAGTCAGGGCTGTGTCTCTGTCACTTTCTCCTTCCCCAACAGTATCGTACAAATAGCAGGTACTAAATACTATTTAATAAATGAATGAAACCACCTTTCTAATAGTGACATCCACAGGGAAGGGATGGAAACAAGAAGGAAAAGGAACCAGGACCTAGAAGCATTGATTTTTACGTCTGGCTCTTTGTAAGCCTTTTAACACTTACTTCCAAAAATCCAGGGAACTCCTTTTCCATGAGTACTCTCAGGTCCTCCTTTGTTAAGTAGCCTTTGTCCCCAGCAAATTTATGAAATGTAAACATCATGGTTTCCATGGCATGTTCCATTTGAGATGGCATTTTGATGTGGTCTGTTGAAGCCTATTAGAGGATGTAAAGAAACAGGGTTTACATTAACTTTTTTTTGAGACAGAGTCTTGCTCTGTCACCCAGGCTGGAGTGCACTGCCACAATTTTGGCTTACAACCTCTGCCTGCTGGGTTGGGGTGATTCTCTTACCTCAGCCTACTGAGTAGCTGGGATTACAGGGACTCACCACCATGCTCGGGTAATTTTTGCATTTTTAGTAGAGATGGGGTTTCACCATGTTGGTCAGGCTGGTCTCAAACTCCTAACCTTGAGATCCACCTGCCTTAGTCTCCTAAAGTGCTGGGATTACAGGTGTCAGCCACTGTGCCTGGCCAATTTTTTTTTTTTTTGACATTATGAATGAATTTTTTTTAGACTGAAAGATAAAATTATATGTATTTAATGTGTACAACATGATGTTTTGAAGTATATATACATCGTGGGATGAATGGATCTAGCTAACTAACATATGCATTACCTCACATACTTAGCACTTTTGTGGTAAGAACACTTAGCCACTCTTACTATTAGTCAAGAATACAATAAGTTGTTATTTACTGTAGTCATATTGTTGTACAATAGCTCTCTTAAACTATTCCATGTAACTGAAATTTTGTATCTTTTGACTAAACATCACTCCAGTGCAATCACCCCAGCCCATTCTATTCTTTAGTTCTATGAAATTAACTACTTAAGATTCCACATATGAGTGAGATCATCTGGTATCTGTCTTTCTGTGCTTGGCTTATTTCATTAAGCATAATGTCCTCCAGGTTCATGTATGTGGGTTTACATTAACTTTTAAGCCACATGTACTTTGTAGGATAATTGGAAGGATGAAGATGAGATCATCCATTTGGTCCTCCCCGCTTTAAAATTCAGTGAATCTAAGAACCAGTCCACCCCAGTTTTTGGGTCTCTTGTTGGTAGAAATAGACACTTTAGGTACTGGTGCTGTAAATGAACTGTTTATCTAACTCCAGCTAATTCGCATAAATAACCTAATAAAGAAGAGAAATTCTAATTATTTAGAAAAGCAAGATCAGTGTTTCCCCTTTTTTTTGGAGATGGAGTTTGGCTCTTGTCACCCAGGCTGGAGTGCAGTGGCTCACTGCAACCTCTGCCTCCTGGGTTCAAGCAATTCTCCTGCCTCAGCCTCCTGAGTAGCTGGTTTACAAGCGTCTACTACCACACCTGGCTAGTTTTTTTGTCTTTTTAGTAAAGATAGTGTTTCGCCATGTTGGGTAGGCGGGTCTCAAACTCCTGACCTCAGGTGATCCGCCCGCCTTGGCCTCCCAAAGTGCTGGGATTACAAGCATGAGCCACTATGCCCGGCCCAGTGTTCCTTTTTAACTGACAAAGCACCCACTGAAAGAACAGATATTTCATAATTTCTCTTTGCACTAGTATATGAGATTCTTAGATATGGCTGATACTAACAATCCACACAGTCAAGCCTGGTAAATATGAAAACTTCAGCCTTCTAAGCTTGACGTGGTAACTTGGTTCAGTCTGATTCTAGGGCTGAGAAATCTGCTTACAACGGAATTACCTGCTGGGTATGTATATATTCTTTACTAAAGTTCTGAACTTGTTATTTATTGCAATAACAAGAAAATCTTTTTGTTTATTGCAATAAAGACAGTTGCATCTCTGGCAGTAAAATGCAGTTACTCTACCCAAATAAAAACTACTCAAAGTCCATTGTCTAGTTCACTTGAGGAGCACAGGTAATAGTATATAACCTAACTCATGGGAGGGCCTCATATGTTTTTAGTTGCACTAGACAGATGAGCTGCTCTCAGTCTGGGACACAGTGGGAGAGGAAGTGCTTTCATCATAAAGTGTTTGTAAGAAAGGAAAGGAAACATGTCAGATCATTCCATTTAGGTATAATGAACTATGGGTATCATCAAGACCCAGCACTTGATACTTAATAGAACCTCAGTGAATTTTGGCTTAATTGAAGGAATCATTTGGCCAGAACAGAGAAGCTTTGGCTAATAGCAACTAAAATCACTACTGGATAGGAAACAGGTGAACTTGAATGGAGACTGTAATATAGCACTAAAAAATAAAAATAAATAAATCATAAGATTAGGCTGTGATGCATGGATGGAAGGGCTGGCAACTTCCTCTGCTGAAGAGCTCACTCTAACAGGAACCTGAGACATGCTTTGATCTGATTCCTGTCTCTGAGAGATGCCTGTTCAACACTGATCCTCGAATGCTATCTTTTACAGAGGAGAAGGTGGAGTTGGTAAACACGAGGATTGAGCAATTCCATTTAGAATTGTAAATTCTACTCCTTAATCTCCAGAAAAGTATGGGAACCAGCAGACCAAAGAATGCGATTCTAGAGAATGCTATAAGTCAGAATCTGGCCTGATTAATCTGGAAGGCAGTTAGTTATCCTGGAGAGAGCAGCAAATTGACGCCTCAAGGTCGGCTGTAAAATGAATTCCAGGGGAACCACACCCTTTTCCTTTCGTCACAGTTCTGGCTCATTCCCCATCCCTCATATGGGTTTCAGATGGCAGTGTGGGTTTACAGAGAGTCTGCCTTCTTGGGTTGGTACTCCAAGTCCAACAATTTAAGATAACTGAACTGGGCCAGTCACCTGTGGGAGAAGGACGTGGGATTCTACCCCAGTTCTTAAATAACTCAGGAAAGGAGTCAGACACCACAGAGGTTTAAAAATACCTGTGCTCAAGTTCAGAGCAGCAGAGCATCTCGGGATCAATTCCCAGAGAACCCAGAAATTGGAACTGAGTGGGGCACCCAGTTTACCTCCTTCAGAGGACAGGGCAGAAGGAAAGTGCACTGCAAAGCTGCAGAATTAAGAAAGGGAATGCAGCAGGGTAAGGACCTCTAAATTTTAAAAAAGATAATTTAGGGGCCAGGTGTGGTGGCTCATGCCTGTAATCTCAGCACTGTGGGAGGCCGAGGTAGGCGGATCACAAGGTCAGGAGATCAAGACCATCCTGACTAACATGGTGAAACTGGTCTCTACTAAAAATACAAAAAGTTAGCTGGCATTGGTGGCAGGCACCTGTAGTCCCAGCTACTCAGGAGGCTGAGGCAGGAGAATCTCTTGAACCTGGGAGGCAGAGGTTGCAGTGAGCTGAGATCGCGCCACTGCACTCCAGCTTGGGTGACAGAGTGACACTCTGTCTCCAAAAAAAAAAAAAAAAAGACTAATTTAGGACCTCCTAAGAAATGCAAGTTGTGAGCTCAGGAAATCCTGGCCACCCTTGAATATCTTCTTTAAGAGAGTAAGGTGAGTCTCACACTGCATGAGTGCTCAGGTCTGATGTCACTCAATCCCACCCCTCTCTTGCCCACAGCCATTATGAAGTGATGGAGCTTTCCTCTCTGAAGTTACATCCTTGCTCCACTGGGTTCTCCCTCTCCCTTCTCCCCCAGTGGTTTTACCCAGTGGATGGATTGTGAATATGCAGCCAGCTGACTCCCTATCTGTCCAGTAGACCTTCTCCAATAAGGATACAGAGCAGGGGCCAGCCAGGAGGTGAAAATAGCATTGAAAACTAGGGGAGAAGCCCTTGTCTCTTGAGTAACCAGTGCCCCAAAGGGCCTCACCAGAGAAGGAACTCTGTTTTGAAGAAGGAGCTGCACACTGGCTTTAAGACAGAGGGAAGGGGAAAATGTTATTAAAACTCTGTTCTCTTGGCTAGAGGATGAATCACATAGCTCTTGTCAGAGTGCAGCCACTGGTGGCCCCACTGAGTCAGCCCTGCCTGGCCCTCTGTTCTTGGGTGGGGCTTGCCTGGGCAGGGCTGACTGCAGCACTGTTAGCTGCTGAAACAAGCTCTTCAGGGACTTTTATCTGGCATTTCCTCCCTTACCTAGCCACTCTGCAAGCTCTGTTCAGATGTGGGCTTCCTGCATCCTGGTTAGACACACTTTGACAGGAGGGCTTTGGGGCTGAGGCCAAGAGGCAGCAGTACACTCTCTATCCCCAAGAACTTGCTCTTGTACCTGAAACATTCCATTCCATTTAATTGTTTACTTGTCAGTCTGAGATTTAAGCTCCTCTTGAACAAGAACTACGAATTATTCTGCTTTTATTCGTGGAGCACTGTTAACTGTTAGGTGCATAAATGAACCACACAAGCCCTTGAGTAGTAGCTGAGGTGCAAGTGTGATTACCTAGAACTAGGCTGAAAACCTTGTAGCTAAGAGCTCAAGAGGACAATGTGAGAGTTGGGAAGGGCCAGGAAAGGGGCCCCAAAAAGGTTCAACTATGAATGGAACAGTAGAGTACACAGGAGGGCACATTCCATACGCAAAAGGGAAAATATGTGTCCTGCTAAACAGGTCTGGTCAGAATGACATGACTTTGCTCCTTCTCTTCTAACACTTAGCTGTTTTCTCATGTTTTCCATTCATCACATCTTCTACTTTATGCTTTTCTAGTGTTGCTGTCTCACTGCTGAGCATCACAGGATGTAACAGCCTCGCTGTCCACTCACCTTTTATTGAATTATTCTATTCTGATGCCTATACATGCCCACCTTGTCTGCCTGAGCAACAGGTCTTAAGAAGGGAGGTTGAGACATCTCTCTCTCTATAGTTCTCTCTATAGAACACAATTCTGGACTCTACGAATTTAGTTACCATAGGAGGAATTCAATTTTCCATTTTTGGTTCTCCCACTCTGAGCATCCACTTTGAATGTCCCAGACACACATACACACACACATGCAGATACACATGTTCTCCCCATTATGCTTGCCTTTAAGGAATTAACCAGCTAATAGAAACTACTTAAGCATCTGGCATGAATTCTATTTATTTGTGTTTCTGTTTCTTTCCTCACCAGATTGCATGTTTCTTGAGCAGGGTCCCAGTAGCCAGTGCTTGAGCCCTCATTGACCCTGCTCGATTAATTTATAAGAAGTCAATAATAATGTATTATGGTTGTCCTGAGAGTAGCAGAGAAGCAGGAGTCCTCAGAAAAGTGTCTGCTCCTGAGCAATCTCAAATGTTTGCTCTGGACCTGTGCCCAGATCCCAGCTGCAGTTTCAAAGAGGACACTTCTGAAGAGCGAGAGTCAGACTTGCTTTGCTTCTCTGTATCTCGTCCATACCCTAGTTTTCTTACAGCCCACCCAGAAAATAAACGGCAGGGCGTCAGTAAAAACAAACATCTGTTATTTAAAATATGTTTGAGATTTCCTTCCTTTTGCTTTAGAAATTTTGGAGTTTTTTTTTTTTTTAATTGAACCCAGAAGGCATTCTTGAATTTGATCTTTGAAGCTAATTCAGAAAAAATGAGCTGAAGCAATGGATCTGGATCCAGGCTGTCTCTCTCACCTCTTACCAAATAAAACTTGCTCACGAAAGACTTGGGCAGCAAAGGAAAGTTTCAGATGCAATTCAATAGGAAGAAAGAACTCCAAAGAAACCTCCTCCAATCTAACCGAGTACATCCATTTTTCCTTAAAAAATGCTCAGGCATCAGCCTAATCAGCCAACATAGCTATTGTGACAACTGCTATTTAATCCTTTGGTAGGGTGGGTGGTACTTATTTAGTAAAGGAATAGAAAGTTCTGAAAATTGTTTAAAAGAAGTAAATTGTTTTTGCTTTTGATGTGAGATTCTTAAATTTGTTGAGTCCCCAGAAAAATGAGAAACTTAAGATGTTAAAATTTTAGTCCAGCTTTCTCAGCACTTTGAGTGCTACTTTATACATTATAAGCCTGAAAGAATTCCATTGTTTCTCTCAACTTTATGCTTTGAAAGACTGGACTGTGTCCAAGGGTATATCAAGTGGGTTGTGCTCTACAAAAGACACATTTTTTTGAACTGTCAGTAGAAAGCAGGGAGGCACACAGTCTTGGCTCCACCCAGTCCAGGCCTGACCCCACTGGAGTGGCTGCTTAGGAGGCTGGCAAGAGGCCGGCACACTGGAGGAAAGGGGCCTATTTGGTGTGTCCAAGAAAAGCTAGGAAGAGCATCACCTAGAAAGCAGAGTGAGACCCAACAATTGCTTCATGCCCAGCAGACCAAAAACAGATGGCAAGAACTGAAATAAACTCCAAATGGTAGGTCAAGGAACACCATGAAGAAACTACTCTCTGGCTGCTAAGGAACAAATACACCATTGGGAAGGGATGCTTAAACAGAAACCGGATAGGAATCTGTGGGGCAGGGCCCAGGAAGAAACTTACAGTGAGTTATATGAACTCATTCCTGCTCCAACCCCTGGCATTGTGTTTTACAATTTGCTGAAACATGTTGGAGGCAAAAATCACCAACTGGATGTTTCCACGAGCCTGGTCTCACCTAAAGCACACACGTAAACTCCACTCCTGGAGGCTAAAACTCAAGCTTCTGGGGAAAAATATCCGAAACAACTGCAAACCTCTTAACGGGAAAGGCTACCTCCCAAGTAAGGCTGAGCCAGGGTGCCAGGCGCATACTGGCCGATAATGAAGAGCGGTCTTGCCAAGGCCTTGGTTACTGATCTAATTACTGCCCTCACCCACAGTTCAGTCAAGAAACCTCTCCTGCAGACTGGAGGCCAGTCCAGGTGTGACTCACTTCCTCTTGGAAAATGCCCTCTGAGATGGCACAGTTCCTCTTTTCCTTCAGGGAGTGTTCTGTCCAAACCATCCACAGAGAGTATCTGCAACCAGCCACACCCACATGGTCTCACAGCTGAGTCACAGGCCTCAGACCACTAGGAGAATCTTGGAGCCTTCTGCCCTAACCACGCCCTGCAGAAGCTCCAGCAGGGACAGAACTGGGTGGGGGCAGAAAGCGGGGTGGGCTTAATGCATCCCAGAGTCTAGCTCAGGGCTCCCCTGTGCTGGCCTGGCTTGGAGCGGTCTGCATTCCACCCCCAGCCAACAAGGCAGAGCTCCTGGTTTCACTTAGACAGAGCCAGACTGAAGCTGGACAGGGCAGCAGTGTCCATAGCTAGGGGCAGCGCCATTCCTTCGGCCAAAGCGCAGGTGGTGAACCAAGTGCCAAAGGCAAGTCTGTCTGTCTCACAAATTAATCAAGGACTGGAAGATCCTTCATCATAGCCTGCTCTTCCTCCATCTCTTTCTGGTTCTACTTAATTAGGTTAGCTAGGGAACCTTTCAGTAGAGAAACCGCTTCACACTGTCCACCGCCCCCATCGAGCCAAACTGCTTTAGAAAGAAAACAAGTGGACCCCCCTCCCTCAGCAGGAAGACCCCCGTCGAGCTGACAACAGGAAGCCCCAACGTGAAACGCCCCTTTGGCCAAGGGACTAAGGGGTACTCCTTAGGAAGGGACGCCCCCAGCTCCCTACTCGTCCTACCCGCGCCTGCTCGGGCTGTCCAGCCGGGTGGAGGCTACGAACATGCAAACCAAGGTTGGCCTGTGGGCAGAACCCACCAAGAAACATGCCAGCCAGGGCAGGGGCAAGCAGGAGGGCTTCAGTAACCGAGAGACGAGTGGGAAAGCAGGAAAGGTGGGAGTAAAGCAAGGCTAACAAAGGGAGGAGAGAAGAGGTCCAGGGGCACCAACACCACAGTCCCCACGTAAAGGACAAGTGTCCCCTCCTCTGGTCCGCCTGGGTCTAGGGGCGGTCGCGCTCGGGCTGGGGACGGGCGCTGCTGGCCTCCTCTGGGTGCGGCCCAGAGCACCAAGCACCGGATTTCCCCACCGGCCGCTCCCCGTCCAGGCCCCGCGGTGCCCGGGACGCTCCGTGAAGCCAAGTGCGGGGGTTACCCCAGGCGGCAGGTCGGGGGCTGGGGACTATCCGGGAAGGGCACGTGGGCAGGGGGGGAGCTCACCTTGGCCAAGGCGCTGCGGATTCTGGGCTAGCTAGACTCAGGGCGGCGAAGCGAGGGCAGCAGGCTGTGAGCCTTCCTTAGTACGTGCGGTGGGTGGGGAGAGGGAGGCGGTGCGGGAGCGGGAGGAGCCTGGCTGGCGCTTGGCCTGGCGCTCCCCAGCCCTGTCTCCTCCCTCTCTTCCTGCCCCCGACTCCCCCGACCCGGGGTTCGCAGCCCACGCCCTGCTCTCGCTCCCCGACCCGCCTCGCTGCTGCCTTACCCGCCCCAGTCAGAGCGTTCTTGTAAACTTCTCTTCAGTAGGAACGGTCCTGCCCTCCACTATTTCAGGGCATCCCCACCCTGGGCCTGCCCTTCCTCTCGGGTTTGGTTTTAGAAAGTCGGTGACAGAACCTGGCCGTCCTGCGGGTGGGGCACGCTGGCGCAGAACCAGAGGTACCGGCTCTGTGGGCACCTACGGGTCTAGGAATTATTTTCTGGATGACCTTGCAGGGAGTGGCACGTGGAGTCCTAGCGACCTCAGAGGCACTAGAATTTGGTTGTTCTCAGATTAGCCCTAGGAGGTCCATCCGGGGGGTCTCGGCCGCCTGCGCCTGGTCAGGGTGGGGGGGGGGGTGGCACCCAGCACCTCCCCAGCAGCCAGGCTCCCCACCCTGCCGGGCCCTCGAGGTGCCAGAGAGGGTGTGGTTTGTCTTGTCAGCACCCAGGGGCGTCACAAACCCTCCGTTGAACAGGGGATTTACTTGACTAATAGTTCAGTTTCAGTGTGGCTAATGTTAAAAACTGGCTGGGCGTGGTGGCTCATGCTTGTAATCCCAACACTTTGGGAGTCCAAGGGCGGGCAGATCACTTGAGGTCAGGAGTTCGAGACCAGCCTGGCCAAAATGGTGAAACCTCGTCTCTACTGATAGAAAAAGGAGTCGGGAAAGGTGGTGCGCTACTGATATCCCAGGAGACTGAGACATGAGAATCGCTTGAACCTGGGAGACCGAGGTTGCAGTGAGGCGAGAACACGCCACTTAACTCCAGCCTGGGTGTCAGAGTGAGACTCTGTCTAAAAAAAAAAAAAAAAAAAGAGTTTAAAACTAAGTTTCCAAGGCATTATGCTGTGGTCCTTAAAAGTCCTTTAGAAGAATTTCCTGGAATAACTTTAGAGGAAACCTAAGTGTTTCCTAGGGGATGCTGACCTACTCTTTGCCCCTCCCTCGCCTCCTTTTATTTGAATTGCGATTTGGGGTTAAATACAAACTACTCGAAGCTGTTGGTGGAAAACAGCCCAGTCCCAAACTCTGGGGTTTTCCTTTGTTCCCAGGGGAGGCCTTGGAAGGAGTGAGCGATCCCAAAGGAATGAGCAGACTTGGGGAATCCTCCAAGTGCCACTTCTGACTAATCTTGGCTGTCGCCAGGAAAACCTAACTTGGATTTCAGCTATTGCTTTTCCTGCAGCCTGGTGCTGACTTTTCAAGTGGACAGCTTGTCTTCTAGGATCTTGCTGTATACAGTACTTCCCAGTCCCCAGGTCACAGTCATCAGTGGAGGAAATCTCGGATCCCTTTTGTCCCAGGGATTGGAATGCTACTGGGTTTGGAATAGGAATGCCTGGGTTTGCATACCCGTACTCATCTGATTTCTTCATCTAGTCCACAGACCTTAAAAGTGCTTTAGTGTATGTGCATACGCCTGGGAATTCAGGGATTAAGGAATCAGTCTCTTCCCTCCAAGGGCTTGGGAGTTAGATAAGCAAACAATGTAAATCCAGTGTGCTTAGTGAATGGTAGAGGATACTATCAGATAGTAGGAGAACACTGAGGAGGGGCTTTCAAGTTTCCTTGGAGTGGTCAGAATAATTCTTGCAGGATGCAACATTGGTAGAAATTAAAAAATAATGATGACACTTACTAGAACTTTTAAATCTGTACAAAGATTCTATCCTTAGAAGGCTTGGAAAAATCTGAATGTATAAAATGTGATTTATAAATACATGAACCAAAGGTCAATATTTTCCTATTTCTTTCTAGTCTTTTTATGTATATATGACAAATATTTACATAATTCTGATCATGCTGGTTATAAAATTGAGTACAGTCATTCACTGCATAACAATGTTTGAGCCAAGAATGGATCGTGTATACAGCAGTGGTCCCTCAGATTATAATAGAGCCAAAAAATTCCTTTTGCCTAGTGACCTCGTAGCCGTCTAACGCGGTGCTCATGTGCTTGTGGTGATGCTGGTGTGAACAGACTGCTGCGCCGCCGGTTGTGTAAAAACACAGCACATACCGCTTACGTGTAGTAAACAGTCCTTGAGAATGGTAATAAATGACTTACTGCTTTATGGATTTGCTATACTTGTCATCATTATTTTAGAGTGTACTCCTTGTACTTATTAAAAAAAGACAGTAAAACTTTAAAAAAAGTTTTTGAAACAGCCTCAGGCAGCTCTTTGAGGAGGTTTTCCAGAAGAAGGCACTGTTACCATAGGAGCTGTGTGTCATTGCCCTGAAGGGCCTTCCAGTGGGGCGAGATGTAGAAGTGAAAGCAGACCTAGGCTGCTATGTGCGTCGGTGTCTTAGTTTTGTGTGTGTGTATGTGTCTTAGTTTTAAACAGAAAACTTAAAATAAATAATTTGAAAAATAGAAAAATATAAAGAAAATATTTTCTACAGCTGTACACTGCGTGCTTTAGGCTAGGTGTCATTACAAAAGAGTCAAACATTTAAAGAATTTACAAGTTTGCTGGACACAGTGGCTCAAAGCCTGTAGTCCCAGCACTTTGGGAGGCCGAGGTGGGTGGATCACGAGGTCAAGAGATCGAGACCATCTGGTCAACATGGTGAAACCCTTTCTCTACTGAAAATAGAAAAATTAGCTGGACATGGTGGTGCGTGCCTGTAGTCCCAGCTACTCAGGAGGCTGAGGCAGGAGAATTGCCTGAACCCAGGAGGCAGAGGTTGTGGTGAGCCGAGATCACGCCATTGCACTCCAGGCTGGGTAACAAGAGCGAAACTCTGTCTCAAAAAAAAAAGAATTTACAAGTTTATAACATACATTTACAGTAATCTAAGGTTAATTTATTATTATTATTCTGGTTTTCTTTGAGACAGAGGCTCCCTCTGTCACCCAGGCTAGGGCATAGTGGTGTGATCTCGGGCTCACTGTAACCTCTACCTCCTGGGTTCAAGCGCTTCTTGTCCCTCAGCCACTTGAGTAGCTGGGATTACAGGCACGTGCCACAATGCCTGGCTAATTTTTGTATATTAAGTAGAGACGGGGTTTCACCATTTTGGTCTGGCTGGTGTTGAACTCTTGGCCTCAGGTGATCCACCCGTCCTGGCTTCCCAAAGTGCTGGGATTGCAGGCATGAGCCACTGTATCCGACCAGCTTAATTTATTATTGATAAAGAAAAACAGTTTTAAATATAGTATAGTCTTAAGTGTACAGTGTTTCTAAATTCCACAGTAGTGTCCTAGGCCCTGACATTCCCTCCTGACTCACTCACTGACTGACCCAGAACAACGTCCAGCCCTGCAAGCTCCATTGATGGTAAGTGTCCTATGTAGGTGTAGCATTTTTAATCTTTTATGCCATATTTTTACCACTTTTTTTATATTTAGGTACACAAATACTTAGCATTGTGTTACATTTGTCTACAGTATGCTATTCAGGGTTGTAGTCCCCACGTGCTCGACTATACCATACAGCCTAGTTGTGTCGTAGGCTCCACCACCGAGGTTTTCACAAGTACCTTCTATGATTGCAGGATGAAATCACCTAAGGACACATTTCTCAGAATGTAACGTCATCATTAAGTGACACATGACTGTTTGTATTTTTGTCCCAAATTCTTTCCTTTTGTTCTTACTCTTTTCTATGTTATTAAACATTTATCAAGAACACGAGTATTTATTCATTTACTCATTCTTTTCAACTTTTTATTTAACAAGTAGCTATTCAACTGTAGTGTACTGTGGCTTCTCTTTTCTCTCTTCTCCAGTGTACCTGCAGCACTCAGAGGCCCTAGTGGGTGCATCTCCAGGAGGATGCTGCAGGGTTTCTAAAACACTGTGCAAAGCACTGAGGATACAGTGGTGAAAATGGTCAACACATCTTATGATTCCTGTCCTCATGTGGCTTCTTAATGATTCTATGTACTGGCAGGTCCATAATGCCTCAAGTATCAGCCATGCTTACAGTCTCTCTCTTGGAAAAGGGGTCCCATACACTTGTTTTTCCTGGAAGTAGTTATACCTTCTCAACCACATGCATACAATGAAGCCCGCTCGGCTTCCCTAGTGAGAACTGACTGCACCAGGGACCAGTGCCTGAGCCTGAGCTGCCCAGCAAGGACACTGTCCTAGCAGGAGAGTAGCCAACTGAATGGCCATTGGAGGAATGAGAGCAGAGGCTCCGTCCATGTGGTCTCTGAAATGATGAGAAGGCATTGTTCAACTCCTCCACCAGGCCTGAGATACGTTCCAATGTACAAAATGCTGGGAGCTGGAGAGAGCGATCCACTATTGAGGCAGTATTGGGTATTTTACCACTTCTCCATGTGGCACAGCCACAAAATCCTGTTATTCTGTGGTTCTCAACTTTTTTGGGTTTGTGGCCATGACACAGAAGTTGGGCTATATACTAGAAATGTGCTCCTTTTTTCACACTGTAGAGTTTTGGGTGCTCAGCTAGGGACTGCATTCCTACCACTTCATGCCCCTAGGTAGGAATATGTGACTAGTCACCAACAGAATGGGACTGGAAGTGATATGTTTCACTTGCAGGACAAGGCAGTAAAGAGGTGACTTTTCCATATTCTTTCTCTCCACCTGCCAGGACTTCAAGGCTCTAAGGATGGAAGAATTACAGTTGGAAAGAGCCTGGAGAACTGAATCCCTGTGTGGAGGAAAATCACTTGGTGAGCAGGAACATCCTCATCGGGCTAGTTATGTGGTTGAGGAAGAACCCTGGAATTGGGTGTTTATGTGTTACGGCACAGCCTTAACAAAGTGCTAGTATTTTTAGCAGCACATTTGAAAGGATTAATTTGCATGGATAGTAATTACACTGTGATACTGTTGACACCTCAGCATGGTGTCATTGTTTGAATAGAACTATTTACTGCCCTGTGCTCTCTTAGATACTCATGAAGCAAAGTTCTCACAGGTCTTAGCAAATGCATAGTCTTGTTTCTTGGTGTGTATCAAGCTGTGGCCTGTACCACATGGAAACCTGTGAAAACCCAGCTCAGCATTCCTGTCTGCCTAGACAGCATGTCAACAGCATGAATCATAGTTGTATAAACTTTACCTACCAATTGCAGTGCCTTGGGAAGGAGTCACAGCACTTCTTCTTGCCTCCTTGGTTGAGAATCACTGATTTACAGTGATCTGGTCAAGACTTTTTGCCGGCAATCTAAAACGGAAGACAAACCAACCCATGTATGGCTGTGTTAGTAGCCCCTGAATAGGGAAGTACTATAATTTGTTAAACATTTCCCATGTTTTTCAAGCTTTTAGGTTGTTTCTAATTTTGTACTGTCAAAACTAACTATATATCAAAGACTATTTTTGAAAAAATATTTCTGTCCACACGTTTGTTTGCTTAGGCTCTATTTCTATCAGGAGCTATGTTTTTTCATGTATTTATGTGGATTTTAAGGGACTAGTAGGAATAAGCCCCATTCTGTGGGGGCAGACAGGAGGGGATGGCATGTGTCGGATGGAACTGTGAGATAGTGTGTCTGTGCCAGGAACTGCCTGCAGTTCTGCATGAGGAGAGTGCAGCGTCTTTCAGAACCTTGAATGGGGATGAGTCTGAAAGGAGGTGCCTTAGATATTCTGCTAAGGAATTTCCTATTTCCTCTGGTACTAGGAGCCACTGAAGAATGTGAAAAGGGGCATTATTAACTGCATGGCTCTGGGCAATTCATTTCACCTGTATGAACCTGGGTCTCTACCTGTCTTCTAGGTTGAGGGAAAAGACTGAATCATCTAGTGAACATGAAGGCGTCCAGCTCAGCAAGCAGCAGCTTCTGGCGGGCAGATCCCCACCTCCTCTGTGTGATTTTCCACTCTGTGAAGGGGCCATTTTAAGGAAGCCAAGCAGGGTTTTTCTGTGGCCCAAGGTTTCTAGTGTGTGTGATTTGTGAAGGCCTTTGAGCAGACTTCTCTTTAGGGGACTGGGAGGACTCCACCGGGGCTGTGCTTGCTGTGCTGACATACCTCTTAGGGCTGCAAAAGCTGAAGGACTGCACGTTTTTTATTTTAGTTTTAGACATAGGAGAGCTCTTAGACTAGAGTTGAAAACAACCTGTCTTCTATAGGTGAGGTGCAAATTCTAACACTTAGAATCTATCAAATATTTACTGAGTACCTACTTATTCCCTGCATGTTATGGGTCCAGGAGATATGTGAATGACTGAGACAGACAAATATATGCACTCACAGACCTTACATTATAGGGAAAAATGATGCAGGGAAGCCCCAAAGTGGAGCTTAGCCACTGGGTTCTTGGCTTTCCCCAGGAAATTCAAGGGCAAGCCGAAGGTAGAAGGAAACAGCTCTAGCGAAGAGGCGGTGTTCCAGCTCCATGACTGTTCCTGCAGAGCAGCGCTACCCCGTAGGCAGAGAGCAGGAGCTCAGGGGAGTTTTGCAGTCATATTTCTATAACCCACTTTTAATTGCATACAGATTAAGGGGTGGTTTATGCAGAAATTTCTAGGGGAAGCAGTAGTAACTTTCAGGTCATTGGGTCATTGCCGTGGAAAGGAGTGATAACTGCCTGGGTGTTGCCATGGCAATGGTAAATTGACATTCCACACTAATGGGCATGTCTGATTGAAAGTCGCTTTTGCCCAAGCCTTGTTTTAGCTAGTCCTCAATTTGCTCTGGTGTCTGAGCTCCGCCTCTGGTGTCAGGTCCCAACCCCACCTCAGGAAGGCAAATAAAATAGAAATGGGGGGAAATGAAACTAACAGAAAAATTTGGTACATTTGTGATGAGTGCCATCATGGGAAATGAGGAATCTGAGTAAGAGAATTGAAGGACCCGTTCTAGGAAGGAAACCAGGAAAGGCTGTTCTGAGAAGGGAATAGTTAAACCCAGACTTAGAGGAAGAAGAGAAACTATGGTTGCAAATTGAGGAGGCGTGGAAGGCACTGGGGCAGAATTCTGCGAGATATGACCTGCCTATCATGGGCTGTGGTCTGCCAGTCTGATAAGCTGCATTTCCCCTTTCTGTGTTGAAACTTGAGAGCAAGTGGTGTTCCAGGCAAAAATTCAGATGCTGTGTCAAAGGGAAACAGTTACTGAAGCCACAGATACTCTTTGTTCATTGATGATACTAGAATCTGGCTGGGGAGGGCTCAGACCCACAGAAATTGGACTCTGGGACCCCAGTGACTCAAACCCCTTGTGAAATGCTGGCTGCTTGGTATGAACTGATGGCTCAACAGTATTAGCAGCAGCTAGCTGTGGAGTTTCTGGGCAGTTCTGTTGGCTGGAAGCTGGGGAGGCTGCTGTAAGGCTGTCTGGATAATATTTAAAATGGTCAATTTACTGGGAAAGGGTGTGTCCTTGCTTTGTAGCTAATGCTGTGGGGACCCTCTGGTGGCCACAGTGGGAGTAGCTCAGCAGTGGGGTTTGCTTTCTCTTGAGTGCCCCAGGCAGGAAGCCTTGGCTGGAAAGCAGAGGACCGAATGTGGGGCCTGAAAGATGACCCCGTTGGCTTGAGATGGAGGCTGTGATTTAGGTTGACACCCCACCCCATTTTCTCTTGCTTTCGATAGCATTTGTCTGGGCTTGAGCAGTGAGAAAAGTAATGCTCTGTGTGCAAGGTGTCAAAAATAAAAAAGATGAAAACAGATTTTAAGTTGAATTAGTGTCTGGTACCATATGGAGCAAAACCTCCGTTTGGGCATAGGATTCCACCAGTCTTATTGGCTGATTTTAAGTAAATTCATTCTAACAGTTCTGAGCACAGATATTCTGAAAGCCAAAGTGGTTAGCTGTTGGAGGATGTACTGGCTGGTGATTAGTGGGACATCTGCGAGGTCTATGTTGGTCATATGATATAGAACACAAATGTACTCCAAGTCTTCTTATTAAAAATTAACACAATAATGTTATATTCTACAAAGTTCTGTCTCATGTTATCTGTTTCTTGTGATGACCCCAAGAAATATTTTAGGTTGATTGGTGCTATGATGATAGTAATAATTTATGGTGGTTGACATATATTTTCTGTAATTCTGACAAAAGCTTTGTAAAATAGATACCCAATCTGTTTTCAGATGTGGAAAGGAAGCTCCGAGAGGCTACATAACTTCTCTAAGGGCACTGAGCTAGCCCTATTGGAACCCAGATGAGCTTAGTCTCAAAGCCTCCTTTCTTGCCACCAGTTTAATTAGTTGACTTTTAAGTAAATTCATTCTACTCTCCCTTACCCTTGGTAGAGCCACAGCGATGACAGCTGCTTGGGAACATAACCGCAATCTGGGAAGGGACATGAGAAGTGTTCACAACTAGCGCTGCGGCGAGGTAGCGTGTGTGGCCCGTGCTGCACAGGAGACTTCAGAGCAGCAGGCTTCCTCTTCGCTGGATCCTTAAGAATAACTTCATAGGTGACATGGGATTTGAAGTGAACTTTGCAGGTTGGGTCAGTTTTGATAGGCATTGACTGAGCGTGTGGGACAGGGCTGAGAGAAGAGCAGCACAGTGGGGAGGAGTGACATGAGGGCAGATGCTGAGGGGAGCGTGCACAGGACACATTGGAGGAACAGCAAGAGTGGCTAGAAAAAGGTATTGGGTGAGGGATGAGGGCTAGATTATAGATGCTCTTGCATTCTAGGCTAAAATCTTCAATGGTAGACACAGTGAGATCAGAGGGAGGAACCACAGCCAGCTGTGGAGTAGGGAGCAGCTGTGATGAGAGAATGGGGTGGAGCTGGGAGCAAATAGGGGCAGGAGATGAGGGAGGTCCACACTGGAATGATGATGGTGAGGGTGGGTGGGAAGGTATGCATTTGAGAAAGAACAGGAAGAATCTGCGGGCTGCTGCTGCTGAGCTCTCGGCCATAGGGAGAGGAAGGAGCAGAATTGCCTAGAAGTTTCCAGACCTGCACACCTTGTACTCTGGTGCCTGCCAAATGCAGGGAGGAGCACTGTTTTGGGAGGGAAGGTGCTGACTGAGCTGCTGAGCTGCTGTTGGGGTTTCTTAGGTGAAAAACAACCTGCTTTGCCATTATTCTTGAATCATTTGTCCCACCTCTGACATGGTGACCTGCAAGGAAGGGTGTGTAGACACCGGTTCTCTCAGTTGTCAGTTCATAGATAACTCTTTCCTGGGGAGCACACTATGGCTCCCTGCACAGCTCACAGTCAGGCTGAACTCTGGCGGGATACCTGGCAACAGCATAGTCTTCCCCAGCCAGGCTCAGCCATCTAGTGGTGAGGGCGTTAGACAGGGAGTCTTGTCATTTGGCTGTAGCTGCTTGGCTTGTGAAAGTACAGGGAATTCCCCTATTCTCCCTTGTCCCGTAGCACACGATTTCCTCTATCATGAGTATCTTGTATTAGTGTGATACATATTTACAATTGATTAATCAATATTGAAACATTGTTATCAACTCAACTCCATAGTTTACATTGGGGTTCATTGTTTTGAGTTTTATGTTATAAGAGTTTTGACAATTACATAATGTCCTGAATCCCCAGTACAGTATCACACAGAAGAGTTTTACTGCTGAAAACCACAGTGAAAACCAGAGATCATTTCACTGTCTCTACCATTTTGACTTTCCTGGAATGTCCTAGTGTTGGAATCATACAGTGTGTAGAGTCTTTAGACTAGTTTCTTCCTAGCATTGTGCATTTAAAGTTCCTCCATGTCTTCTCATGGCCTGATAGCTCATTTCATGTATCACTGAATCACATTCTCTTGTACAGATATACCACAGTGTGTTTAGCCATTCACTCAGTGAAGGACATTTTGGTTACTTCCAGTGTTTGACAAGTATGAGTAAAACTGTCGTAAATACTTGGATGCAAGTTTCTGAGTGAACGTAGTTTAACATGACTGGTAAATATCTAAAACTGCTATTTGCTGGATTATATGGGAAGACTATGTTTAGCTTCGTAAGAAAGCCTGCCGAACTGTTTTCCAAAGTAACTAGCATTTTTCATTTCCACTAGCAACGAATGAGAGTTCGTGTTGCTCTGCATCTTTGCCAGCCTGTGGTATTGTCACTTCCTTGGATTTGAGCCTTCCTATTAGGTATATATTATCGTATAGTGGTATCTCATTGTTTTGATATGCAATTTCCTAGTGACACATGACTTTGAGCATCTGTTTCATATGCTTAGTTGCCATCCATATGTCTTTTCTGGTGAAGTATGCAGATCTTCTGCCCATTTTTAAATTGGGTTGCTTGCTTTTTTTATTATTGAGTTTTAAGAGTCCTTTACAGCCGGGCGTGGTGGCACATGCCTGTAGTCTCAGCTACTTGGGAGGCTGAGGTGGGAGGATCGCTTGAGCCCAGGAGTTCTGGGCTGTAGTGCGCTGTGCTGATCGGGTGTCCGCACTAAGTTCGGCATCAATATGGTGACCTCCCGGGAGCGGGGGACCACCAGGTTGTCTAAGGAGGGGTGAACCGGCCCAGGTCAGAAACGGAGCAGGTCAAAACTGCTGTGCTGATCAGTAGTGGGATCGCACCTGTGAATACCTGCTGCACTCCAGCCTGGGCAACATAGTGAGACCCCGTCTCTTAAAAAAAAAAAACAAACAGTAAAATAAGAGTCCTTTATATATTTTGGACACCAGTCTTTCATGAGATCTGTATTTTGCCAATATTTTTTTCCTAGTCTGTCACTTGTTTATTTCCTTAACAATGTCTTTCACAGAGCAGATGTTTTTAATTTTAATGAAGTTCAGGCTTTCAATTTTTTCTTTCCTGGATTGTGCTTTTGGCATCGTATCTGAGAAGTCATCACCAAACCCAAAGTCGCCCAGATTTTCCCCTATGTGGTCATCCAGGAGTCTTAGAGTTTTGCACCTCACATTTAGGTGTAAGATCTGTTTTGTGGAAGGTGTAAAATCTGTGCCTAGATTTATTTATTTTTCACATGTGGATGTCTAGTTATTCTAGCGTCATTTGTTGAAAAGTCTATCCTTTCCCTGTTAAATTGCCTTTGTGCCTTCCTCAAAGATCAGTTGAGTGTTTGTGTAGGTCTATTCCTGAGCTCTGTATTGTTTCCTAGTGACCTGTTTGTCTGTGTTTTCTTTCTTCACCATTTCCACAGTTTGGTTACTGTAGCTTTATAATTAGTACTGAAGTCGGCAGTGTCAGTTCTCTGGGGATTTTTCTGATCTTTACTATGAGAACCTGGTTGGGCTCTGTGGTAACACTTAGAAAAGTGTGAGATCCCCACTAAATCTGAGCCCCAAGGAGTTTTTAATGCACAAGCCAGGCCACCGTCAGCTTCTAGTAATCTGTGGGTACCATTGAAGAGCTCCTCCCAGTTGCTGGCTTCAGCAGCTTCTGTTCCCTGTGTTTGCCTGTCTTTCTGGTTTTCAGCATGGCAATTTTCCCTGTGACCTCTCCTCTAGTCCCTCTAATAAGGATTGATAATTTTCCGTTTTTTCAGCTTTTTTCTTGTTGTGAGGACAAGTGGTGACCTCCTGGCTCCTTACAAGTTGGAGTAGAAACCAGGAATTTTATTTAACAAGTTACTCACAATAAAAGTCACTAATCGTAAATGTAGAATTGAGTAATTTAAATAGACATAGAATTTTGCAGCCGTCACCTCAGTCCCCTTTAAGAATACATTTCTTCCCTCCCCAGATTCCCCAGAGCCTCTTTGCAGTCATTTTCAATCCCTGGTCCCCACGACAGAGCCTGAACAAAATTAAAATTTGGAAAACAGATAACATTACATTTAAGGTTTTATTAGATTGGAATTTTATATAATGGACCATTGTCTTACTCTTGTGGCAACTAGAGGAGATTTTTATTCTAAGGACTCTCTTTAGGGGACCTTAGTGGTATCCTGTTTATTGCTCTCCTTGAATTGGTTAATCTTTGCTGGTGTCAGACAGTTGCTATCAAACCTTGTCTGGTGAGCATGAGTGAAAGACCTAAAAGAAAATCTTCTATTAGAAATGTAGATGACGAATTTGCAGATAAAGTTATGCTGAGTTAATTTTTTTTTTTTTTTTGAGCTGGGATTTCGCTCTTTGTTGCTCAGTCTGGAGTGCAATGGTGTGACCTCGGCTTGCCGCAACCTCTGCCTCCCAGATTTAAACAATTCTCCTGCCTCAGCCTCCTGAGTAGCTTGAATTACAGGCATGCACCACCACACCAAACTAATTTTGTATTTTTAGTAGAGACGGGGTTTCTACATGTTGGTCAGGCTCTTCTTGAACTTCCAACCTCAGGTGATCTGCCCACCTCAGCCTCCCAAAGCGGTGGGATTACAAGCATGAGCCACTATGCTGGAATGCTATGGTACAATCTCAGTTCACTGCAACTTCTACTTCTAGGGTTCAATTGATTCTGGTGCCTCAGCCTTTCAAGTTTCTGGGATTACAGGCATGCACCACCATGCCCACCTAATTTTGTATTTTTAGTAGAGACAGAGTTTGTCCATGTTGGTCAGGCTGGCCTTGAACTCCCAATCTCAGGTGATCCACCCACCTTAGCGTCCCGAAGTGCTGGGATTACATGCGTGAGCCACCACACCTGGCTGGCAGTTAAGTATTTTACCATCTTTTTTCTTTCAGAAATTGGGTTGGTAACATTGAAGAGACGCTTCTCACCTGCCTGAAATGCCCTACGTTATCTTCAAGTTGCAAGGGCTCTGGAACAGCCCTTGCAGTGCTCCCATAAAGGGAAGCATCACATTTTACTGTAGTTCTTTGCTTTTTCTTTTTTATGCCTATAGGGATTAGCATACATGTATGTGAAAATATAAAAAGAGTACAGTTAGGCACCTGTAACTAGTTTTCTCTTGCTACCTATTAACACATTATAACAAGTTAGTGGTTTGAAACCACAGAAATCAGGAATGACTGGGTTCTCTGATCGGGGTCTTAGGAGGCTGAAATCCAGTTATGTGCTGCCTGTGTTTTTCATGTAGAGCTCAGGCTACTCTTCCAAGTTCACTACACATGTATTGGCAGAATCCTCTTCTTGTGGGTGGAGGACTGACATCCTTTTGCAGTTCTCCTCCTCCTGGCTCTCAGCCAGAAGACACTCTGACTCCAGAGGCCACCTGCATTCTTTCTCGCTTTCCTTATCTTCCAACCAACAACAGCTCATGGAATTCTTCTCCAGCTCCCATCGTCTCTCTGACTTTGTCTTCTCCTACCCACTAGAGAAATCTGTGACACTTAGGGAGGGGTGTGATTAGATCCAGCCCACTCAGGAAAGCTCAGGCTTGGTATTAGTCGGTTCTTGCAATGCTATAATGACCTGAGGCTGAGATTTATAAAGAAGAGATTTAATTAGGCCATGGTTCTGTGGGCTGGCAGGAGAGAGAGAAAGAGAGGGAGATAGGGGAAGTGCTACATAGTTTTAAAGAGCCAGATCTCATGGAAACTCTTATCATGCAACAGCACATGGGGGATGGTGCTATGCTATTGAAAACCATCCCCAGGATCCAGTAACCTTCTGCCAGGCCCCACCTCTAACACTCAGGATTATAATTCAACATGAGATTTGGGTGGGGACAGAACCAAACCATATCACTCTTTAAAGTCATATGACTGCCATGTAACAATGTAATCACAGGAATATCTCATCACTTTACCAGGTTCCACAGATAAGGGTACAACATGTTTGGAGACCATTTTAGAAATTCCACCTATCACAGTTCAACTTCAGGTCCCTAGACATTCACATTCTCACAGATGCAAAATACATTGACCCTCTCGCCTGAGGTTTCCAAGTTTCATGTCATTAATGCATTAGGGGAAAGTGAACAATGTCATGTAGCTTTAATGTGATCAGAAGTTTAAAATCTCATTTAAATAATCTGCACCAAGTGTGAATGAGGCTTCTGAGGGTGTCCATTAAGTATAGATTCCTTTTATTTGAGAGCGAGTCTTGGTCTGTCACCCATGCTGGAGTGCAGTGGTGCGATCTTGGCTTACTATGACTTCTGCCCCCTGGGTTCAAGCGATTCTTCTGACTCAGCCTCTGGGGTAGCTGGGAATACAGACATGCAGCACTGCATTCAGCTAATTTTTTTGTATTTTTAGTAGAGATGGGGTTTTGCCCTGTTGTCCAGGCTAGTCTGAAACTCCTGACCTTAGGGGCCATCCCCACTCAGCCTCCCAAGGTGCTAGGATTTCAGGTAGCCACCATGCCCAGCCCAAGTACAGATCCTTGATATAATTCCCTTACCCCTGTTGACCTGTGAAACGGATCAAACAGCTTATCTGTCTTCAGTGTGCAATGGTGGGACAGTCACAGAATAACACTGCTAGTGATTCTTGTTTAAAAAGAGGGAAAGTGGAGGGAACAAAGTCACTGATCCAAAACCATTTTGACCTGGAGCTGAGCAAAGTCCAGCCAGAAATTCTTCATTAGGCTCCACAGCCTGGAACTAACCCTCTGTGACAGGGGGCTTTGCCTCTGGGCTCTGCATGTTTTACTATCATTATGGAAAACATTTTATTTTCCTTCTCCCCCTGCTCTTTTGGTTCTTCCTTTTTCACCTCATGGCAGCATTTTCCACTTAATTATTGTTGCATCTTCCCCCGCAGAATTGGTCAGACATTTCCTGTGTCACGGTCCTGACCATCTTCACGAGAGGATGTCCTTGTGAGCCCGTGCTCCTCTTCACTCACCTGACCGCTCTCAGTCATGATTGCTTTCAGCTGCCCTGGCTTGCTTAGGAGAAAACCTAAGACTATGGAGTCCCAGAACCAATCTCTGCCCTCTCTATCTTTAAGAGAGGAAGAAAATAACAGGGATCTTCATGGAGAAATGACCCACAGGAGGGCCTGGACTCTCCAGCAGATACAGCAGCAGAAAGTTTCTGAAGAAGAATGGAGCCCAGGCTGGGAAAGCAGGGTTGTGTGAAACACTATTTAATCCTATGTGCTCCCTGCCCCAGTCTAGCAGCCAGTGAATGACAACTGACCAAGTATAAAGGCCAGGATTGTAGAACTGTGATAGAGGGTTTGTCCAAGGAAAGGGGCTTTTTCCGTTTTTTTTTTTTTTTTTTTTTTTTGACAGTTGAAATTCCTCTTTTTGATCTAGTTTTTCGAATGGCAGCAGTGAGCTTCTGGAGGGTGTTACCTGCTCTGCACAGGGAGGCTGAGGCCAAGACTTGTGTGGTGGATCTGCTGCCACCTAGTGGTGAGGGAGGGAGCCTGGGAGAGTCTCCGTGTTTCTGGGCTTCAGTGTGTCCTCATCAGTAAGGTAGAGGCTTATTGTATTTCTCTGAGGTCCCTTCCTGCTCTGTTTTCTCTGAGCTTCTGAGGAATTTAGATGCTTTTCAATACTGCCTGGGAGCTTCAGCTGAGACCTGACTGTGTGTGTCTCCTGCAGGAGCCTGAGCTGAGCCTACACGCTGGAATCCCAGAGCTGGGGGAACAGGTGGAAGAAAGAAAGTCAGCAGGTTTGGGTATGAGATTAATCCACAAAGGAGAAGCCATTGGTAAATAAAAACGAAAGAAGGGGAGAATAAGGACAGAGCAGGACAGAAGCCTGAGGGGAAATGGGCAATGGCTATGATGATTTAAACCCTCAAGGAGCAGCGTGAGCTGAGCAGTGGGGACTGAGAGAAACTTATTTGACAGGAATCTCCTGCCTCTGGCCAGGGAGAGCCACAGGTTAGATCAGAGCTGGTTTATAATGAGGGGCAGCTTGAACTCCAAGAAAGGTTCAGAGGTTTGTAATCAGTTTTATTCAGTCATGGATGAACACTCCCCAGACCCAGGAGCGTCAGGATCGGTGCTGCTGTAGCAGTGGATGCTCTTCAGGTCAGTGTGAGTTAGAGGGAATAAACATGCATGGAGAAGGGTTGGAGATGTCCATTCTTACATCAAACAGCTCTGCCCTAGGTCAGGTGCCAGTGTAAGTGTCCCTTGCTTGTATATGAAGCAGGGATACTAATACTATTCCTCAGCACGTTCAGTTGAGGGAAACTTCTCGTAAATATTTATTGAGTATTTAATTTTCTTTGTACTGTGCTAAGCACTTGGGATTCAGGTATTTAATGTCTCTCTAAAGAAACTGAAGCCAGTGAGTGGAAGAACACAAACAGATCATTTCAACAAGACACGGTAGTGCTACCCAACTGAGGTGCTGTGGCAGCCCAGAGGACGGGAGTGTATGTCAAAGGACATTGCTCCTAATGACAGGGGGAGGCATAAGAGAACATTTTCAGGACAGACTAGTCTTCCTTGAAGCTCCCACAGGAGAGGATCCTGCGGCAGGGATGGTGTAGGGCAGGCACCTCTCTAGGGAAGGGGATTTGCAGCATTCTGAGAGAAAGAGCATCCCTTATAAGACATTGGGGACAAATGTAGGTGAAAGGGTTGGAGGTTTGTAATTTATTTTATTCAGTCATGGATGAACACTGCTGAGAGGCCCCTCTGTGCTGGGCCCTTAGCTAAGGATCATGACCACAGAGGTGAGTAAAATAGGATCCCAGGTTTCACAGAGTTCTCAGTCTAGTGACTGGTGATTCATGAGACGTGTAGTGATGGTGGAAGCGGGCCCAGGTCTCATGAGATGAACTCAGTGGATGTCCTGGGCCAGTGACCCTGGACTTCAGCCATATTTCAGCCTCTTGACATACAGTACACCAACACCTCAGCTCCATGTTGAGTCAAAGCAGTTAACACAGCCAAGGTATTCAGAGGACACTGATGATATCAGTAGCTATGGACTGTTTCCAGCTGGGAAAATAAGTAAATTTAATACCTCTTCTAAATTTGTTTTTGACGGGCCAGGCACGGTGGCTCAAGCCTGTAACTTCAACACCTTGGGAGGCCAAGGTGGGTGGATCACGAGGTCAAGAGATCGAGACCATTCTGGTCAACATGGTGAAACCCCATATCTGCTAAAAATACAAAAAATTAGCTGGGCATGGTGGCGCGTGCCTGTAATTTTAGCTACTCAGGAGGCTGAGGCAGGAGAATTGCCTGAACCCAGGAGGCGGAAGTTGCGGTGAGCCGAGATAGCACCATTGCACTTTAGCCTGGGTAACAAGAGCTAAACTCCGTCTCAAAAGAACCCACAAAATTTGTCCTTGCCATAATGATAAATACCTTTATCTTTATAATGACTTATATTGTGGCAAGTTAATATAACTTATCATAATGAAAAGTAACTTTATACTGAGTACCGCAGACACACTAGCTTTTGAGGACACATGCCTGAGGATTCTGATGAAGATATGATGTCCAAATATGTGACAGTTGGACCTACAGGCCAGCTTTGAAACAGTGGAAGGTCTAGTTTCAAATTTAAGTTTGCTTTGAGTAGAAATTCACTTTACCTCTCTTTGCGTGGCAATGGGGCCAATCTTCCCTAAACCACTTCTTACAAGAAAAGGAATCATTCTGGTAAGAATTCAGACTTCAGCAAACATGGGGAAGTAAGGAAGTCGTACAAATGTATTCTGGCCACCTAGCAAGAAACCAGGAATTTAGCAAGTTCATTCACATTCAGGACAGTTGTGTTCACTAGATCAGAGGCCCTGAGACATGAAGAAGAGACCCCTTAACAAGAGAAAGCGTTTCTTCCTGTCCTAGGACATCACTGCCAACTACAGGGAAGCGGGAACACAGCCGCTTGCTTTACAGTATGGGCTGCTTTTGTGCCTGGAATGTGTGTGATGTCCTGAGACCTGTACCTATTTCAGGGAGCCTTGGGAGGAGCCTGAATCACTGATGGAATTGGACGGTGCATGGAGATGGTTGGGCAGGATGAGGGTAAGTGCAGGGGCATGGTCAGGTCATACTGGGAGAACTGAGTGGCACTGATGGGGACAGACAAAGATATTACAGACCTTGTCTTGTATATTCCAAAGGTCCAGGGAAATTCCAGGTCTTATTCCATGAAAAATAGAGGTTATTTTCCATGCTGTTAAAGCAAGGTTGCAGACACTTGTGAATTTTGGTCCCAGTATACTTGGAGGACACATCTGTGTCCTGGAAAATGATACAGGGATGAATACTCTTCAGGTGACTCATTCTGGTCATTTGTCCAGCATCACAGAAACCAGAAAATGGAAATATGGCCAAATTCATGATTTGCTAGCCCTCTTGTTCAGGTTTCTTACCTGATTCTTAGGATAACAGCGTTACCTGGAGGATTCTGATGAAGATATACTGTCCAAATATGGGCACAGTTTTGAGCAAAATGCCTGGTAGAGATTGGTCAACAAATAATTAGTGAATAATTATATGAATATTTACTGAATAACATGGATCCTATGAATAATTATGGAATAATTGTTGTGATTACTTTTATTGGCACTGCTCAGAACTCATCCCTGTGTGACCTCAAGTAAGCCACATAACTTTGTGAACCTGCAGTTTCATCATTTTTATAATGAAGAAACCTCACAGATTTTGCTTCTGCCAGAGAATGTCAGGCCTCCCAGACACCAGAACATGTATATACATAAAGCCTTTGATGTATCTCTAAGCGGTGTGCTCACAGTGTTGCTGGAGGATGATGGGGGCTGTAGAGAGGCACGCTTTGCAATGGGATCGATCCAGTCCTCCTTGCTTCACTTCCACATGAATGCTGGGCAGCCCAGGGTCACACCCATTGCACCCTCGACTCAGCAAGCCCAGGAAGCAGCCAAACATAGGAGACCTGGGCTACAGAACAGTCTCCCAAGTCCCAGGCTCCCAAAACCTGGGTGGCAATGAAAGCTGAGAAAGTGAGGGGGAGGCTCAGGGATCACTCTTCCTACTCGGTCCTGTCATCTCCAATTCCCCTTCTACTGCACAGCAACACGGAGGACCACCAACCACCCCTGACCATCACCTTGATCTTACCATGTTTGGTTAGTGGGATGCAACCACACATCAATGGCATTAGACCAACTCAGAACAATATGTGTCAAACAGTATTCCATAAGGACCGCTCATGGCCCTGTTGTTTTCAATATGTGGACAACATGAAATGAAAACAACAAAATCATACCAGGTTTACCAGACTTCCCAAGATAGATGGTCACATACGCTTTCAGGAGATCTCCATAGAAATGATTTTGATGACTTGACACCTTGAAAAGAGCTCTTCTGGGACTAAATTGCCATTTATAAGTGACAAGAATGAGATGCAGTGTTCAGTCACCTTAGAAAACCAATCATCCCACACAGAGGAAGCTTTGGATATAGGGCCATGGAACTGGTCTTAAGTGTAATGAAAAGTCTCTCCTGCCTTAAATATCAGTGTAGTGATATCTGATGGTAAGAAAATACAAATCAGCATAACCATGGGATGCAGCAAGAGGAATACTGAGCCAGGAAAGAAAGCATTTTAATTCATTAAAAAAATGAATTCCTCATTCAGTCTCTAGTGGATACAGAAAAAACTGCAGGAGAGTCAGAGGATTTCATGGCAGTGTAATAGGATGATATGTTAAACTCGTGGAAAAGCCTCCAATTCTGTTTTAACATATGAGAAGGAGGGATGACTGACTTCATTTCTAGCATTAAGAAAATATCATATGTTGGGAAACTGTTGCTGCCTTGATGATTTTATACACAGAAGAGATGAAAAAATGAGGCACATGCTTAGATATATTGGGAATGAGATGGGACTGTGGCATCATCATAAGGGTACACAAATACTGAGAGTGACTGATAGAGGAACGGTTCCCCATTGGTTGTGAGCTCAGGTGAGACCAGGAGGCCTGAGTTTTAGCAAAACTGAGTTGGACAGTTAGAATGAAGATTCCATGACACGCCCAGCTTATAATTCTATTATTGCAACAGCAGACCGTTACCTGGGAAACTGGCCCTGTCTCCCACACTCTTGTGAGAGTCTGAGCTAGAGGCAGCACCTTCAGCTCTGAGCTCAAGCGTTTCCTACATTGTTTTGGCAGTTAAGGACCCTAAAATTGTGTGAGGAGGGATCGTTTTTCTGAACAGTAAGTTAGGAATTTGAGTTATTGAAATTCCTCAGTCCTGATTAAACCTATTTGATTTCCAGTTTTTAACCCATCCTGTGTTTGGGTTTCTTCTCCCTAGTCCCTGGCTGTGCCTGGGTGCCCCAAATGTCACCATGGTGGCACCTGGCAGGGCGTGTTCCAGGCAAATCACAGAGGTGAACTTTCCTGATATCGTCGAGAATTCCTACACCCAGCAGGAAGAGACCAAACCGAGTTTCAGAGACAGCAAAAATAGACTTCTTCTGAGCCAGGTGGCCTACTTCCAGAACTACCGGCTGAAGACAGACAGTAAGTTGTATAGGTTCACCACCATGAAACTGTTGAGTGACGTCCTGTCTTCTCTCTAGAAACTAACGGTTCTCTTCATCAAAATTAATTTCATGCTTCCCATACTTGTAGAAAATAGCAATGGGTATTTTAACATTGAGTTAAAGATGGAAGACAGAGGCCAAAGTATTTATCAACTGTTCCACGTCTGTAGTAAGGTGGGTGAGGGACTGGGGTTACAAACCCAGCTCTTGATTTCTGACCCAGGCACAGAACCACCTGTTTTTCTCAGCAAAAGGCTAAATCCTGTTTACAGGAATCCTCTCTGTACCGTATAAGATTCTGCAGACAAGTAGCATCCAGTCTGTTGGTCTAAATGTCTGAGGCTACTGAACTTCCATTAGGTTCCGGAGACTGCTGAGGCCCAGGAGGCAAAGGTGTGTTCTGGGGACACTGGGGGAAACACAGTGACAGCAGACAGTACCCACTGTGAGGAGTTTAAGGGGACGCTGCTGCTAATAGAACCTGTGGTATGTGTAAGTGGCATCATCAAGAGCAGGGAGTACCCTGGTACTGGTGCCTCAACCTCCCAATCAGCTGGGATTTCCGGTGGGCACCAGCACACCTGGCTTACTATTGTATTTTTAGTAGAGGTGGGGTTTCATGATGTTGGCCAGGCTGGTCTTGAACTCCTGAGATTAAGGGATCTGCCCTGCTGTGCCTCCTAAATTGCTCGGATTCCCGGCAAGAGCCACCATGGTGGTTCCACAGATTCTGTTTTCAGGAAAGGTTGTTAGAATTCATCAGTTGGTTCAGTCTCCTATATAAATTTCTCTATCCATTAACTGACCATAATATATGATGAGATAAATCAGTATTGCAGCAATGCTTCTGGAAAGTATTGAGGACAAGTTTTGGAAGATTTTGGGTGAAACGTTTTAATTTTTGCACTGGCTTAGGTCAGAGGATAAGTGATTAAGATCTACCAGATGAGGGAAATTTTGTCCCATAGATCTGAAAAGCAGGCTCATCCACTTCTAGGGCAACTTAGTCTAGGGCCCATTAGAACATTACTGTCAGAATAACACATTCTTACAGTGAGAGTATTTTAAGTCCTTGTGCTATGACTGGGCACTGATTTGGTCTTGTGTGAAGTGCGATTTGCTTAATGTGACCTGCTCTTCTGAATTTGTTTATAGAAGATCGAAAAGATGACGATGAAGAACAGAAATACAGAGACCGCAAAAATAAACTTTTTTTGAGTCAAGTGGCCTACTACCTGGGCTGCCGGCATAAGATGGAAGGTAAGTTCCATGGGTTTATCATCACGGAAGTGCTGAACAATCTCCTGTCTTATCTCTGAGAAATTACACACTCTCGTCTTCAAAGTTAATTTAATCCTTCCCATACTACTAGGAAAATAGTAATGGGTATTTTAACATTATGGTAAAGATGGAAGTCAGAGACCAAGGCATTTAGCAATGCTGCCACATCTGCAGTAAGGTGGGTGTTGGACTAGGGTTAATAACGCAGCTAACGATTCCTGACACAGGCACAGAACCACCTGTTTTTCTCAGGAAGAGACTAAATCACGTCAGGAATTCTCTCTAACACATAGGATCCTTCAGAACTTATAAGCAAGATAAAGGTAGAAGCGTTAATATCCTGGTTTCAGGGTGACTGAGTAGCTAAGACAAGTTGACTCTAAGGAGATCAAGAGTGGAGATAAGAGTAAAAGCAGGGAAACACCATGTGCAATAGGCAAGGCTGTCAGTGAGATCCCTCAGTCCTGATTAAACCAACTTATCACCAGTTTGTAACCCATTATGTGTCTGGGTTTCTTCTCCCCAGTCCCTGGCTTTCTGTGTTGTGCCCAAAAAGTCAACATGGTGGCATCTGGCAGGCCTCCTTTTAGAATAAACCGAGAGGTGAACGTTCCAGAAGGCATTGAGAAATCCGGCTCACAACAGGAAGAAAACAAACCGAATGTCGGAGCCAGCAAAAACAGACTTCTTCTGAGCCAGGTGGCCTACTTCCAGAACTACCGGATGAAGACAGACAGTAGGTTCTGTAGGTTGACCACCACAAAAGTGATCAATGATGTCCTGTGTTGTTTTGAGAAACTAACAGTTCTCTTCATCAAAATTAGTTTCATTCTTCCCATACCTGTAGAAATTAGCAATGGGTATTTTAACATTTTGTTAAAGATGGAAGACAGAAGCCAAAGTAGTTAGCAACTTTTTCACGTCTGCAGTAAGGTGGGTGTACAACTGGGGTCACAATCCCAGCTATCAATTTCTGAGGCAGGCACAGAACAACCTGTTTTTCTCAGCAAGAGACCAAATCCGTGTTTAAAGGAATCCTCTCTGTACAGTATAAGATCCTGCCGACAAGTAGCATCTAGTCTGTTGGTCAAAATGTCTAAGGCTACTGCACTTCCATTTGCTTCTGGTTTTCTGAGGCCCAGTAGGCAAAGCTCTTTTCTGGGGACACTGGGGGAAATGTGGTGATAGCACGCAATACCTCCTATGGAGAGCTAGAAGGGGAATCCGCTCCAATAACATCTGTGGTATGTGTATGTGGCACCATCAAGAGCAGGGAGTACCCTGGTACTGGTGCCTCAGCCTTCCAATTAGCTGGGATCCCTGGTGGGCACCACTGGAAATGGCTAATTTTTGTATTGTTAGTAGAGGCGGGGTTTCACCATGTTGTCCAGGCTGGTCTTCAACTCCTGAAGTCATGTGATCTGCCTCCCTGGGCCTGCTAAAGTGCTGGAGTTCCAGGTGTGAGACACTGGGCTGCCTCCATGGATTCTTTAAGTAAAGGTTGTTAGGATTCATCCATCAGTCCAGTCTCCTATATAAATTTCTCTAACCATTCATTGACCATGATATCTGATGAGATAACTCGGTATTGCAGCAATGCTTCTGGAAAGCAGTTAGGGCAATTTTTGAAGATTTGGGAAAAAAGGTTTAATTATTTGCACTGATTTAGGTAAGAGGATACATGATTTAAGATCTACCAGATGAGGGAGATTTTGTCCCATGGATCTGAAAAGCAGGCTCATATACTACTGAGGCAACCTAATCACGGGCCTGTTAGAACATTCCTGTCAGAATATCACATCCTTACACTGAGAATATTTTGCATCCTTGTGCTATAACAGGACTCTGATTTGGTCTTGTGTGAAGTGCGATTTCCTTAATGTGACCTGCTCTTCTTAATTTGTTTACAGATGATCAAAAAGATCACGATGAAGAACAAAAATACAGAGACAGCAAAAATAAACTTGTTATGAGTCAAGTGGCCTACTACCTGGCCTGCCGGCTGAGGATGAAAGGTGAGTTCTGTAGGTTCACCATTACGGAAGTCCTGGACAGTGTTCTGTCTTGTCTCTGACAACTGCTCTACTCTCTTCTTCAGTTTAATTTTATCATTCCCAGACTTCTAGGAAGGTAGCAATTGGTATTTTAACATTTCCTTAAAGACGTAACACACAGGCAAAATTATTTAGCAACTTTCCACATCTGCAGTAAGACAGGTGTGAGATTGGGTGAACATCCCAGATACTGATTTCCAACACAGGAACCAAAACACCTGCTTTTCTCTGCAGGAGGCTAAATCATGTTTACAGGAATCTTATCCATACCATATAAGACCCTTTAGAACTGAAAAACAGGATCAAGGTAGAAATGTTTATGTCCTGGCTTCAAGGTAAATGAGTAGCTAAGACAAGTTGACTCTAAGGTGATCAAGAGCACAGATGAGAAGATTAATTCAGGGAAAGAACATCTTCAAATCAATAGGCAAGACTGTCAGTGACATTCCTCAGTCCCGATTAAACCAATTTGACGTCACCAGTTTCTAATTCACCATATCTTGGGTTTCTTCTTTCCAGTCCCTGGCTTTCGGTATTGTTACCCAAACATCAGCAGGGTGGATTCCAGTAAACTTCCTTCCAGAAAAGACCCAGAGGTGAACGTTCCAGAAGCCATTGAGAAATCCTGCTCCCAGCGGGAAGATAACAAACCGGATGTCGGAGTCTGCCGAAATAGATGTCTTCTGAGTGAGGTGGACTACTCCCTGAACTACTGGCTCAGGGCATACGGTGAGTTCCACAGGTTCACCTCCACAAAAGTGATGAACGATGTCCTGCCGCGTCTCGAGAAACTGACCGCTCTCTTCCTCAAAGTTAATCTCCTCTTTCCCATACTCCTAGAAAATAGAAATGGGTGTTTTACCATTTGGTTAAAGGTGGGAGACAGAGGCCAGAGTGTTTAGCAACTTTTCCACGTCTGCAGTAAGGTGGGTGTGGGACTGGGGTCGCAATCCCAGCTATGGATTTCTGACGCAGGCGCGGAACCACCTGTTTTTCTCAGCAAGAGGCTGAATCCATGTTGACAGGAATTCTCTCTGTACGGTACAAGATCCTGCAGAGAAGTAGCATCTAGTCTGTTGGTCCAAATGTCTGAGGCTGCTGAACTTGCATGTGGTTCTGGTTTTGGCTGAGGCCCAGCAGGCAAAGCTGTGTGTTAGGGACCCTGGGGGAAACACAGCGATAGCAGACATTACCTCCTGTGAGGAACTGAAAGGGGATCCTGCTCCTGAGAGTAGAACCTGTGGTATGTGTAAGTGGCCCCATCAAGGGCAGGAAGTACCCTGGTACCGGTGCCTCAGCCTCCCAATTAGCTGGGATTCCCGGTGGGCACCACCACGCCTGGCTGCTGTTTGTGTTTGATGCAGAGGCGGGGTTTCTCCACGTTGGCCAGGCTGATCTCGAACTCCTGAGGTCAAGGGATCTGCCCTCCCAGACTTCCTAAATTGCTGGGATTCCAGGCATGTGCCACCATGCCGGCTCCGCAGATTCTTTTTTTTAAAGTAGAGCTTGTTAAAAAATACATCCGTCGGTCCAGTCTCCGGTATACATTTCTCTAACCCTTCGTTGGCCGTGATACAGGATGAGCTAGATGAGTATTGCAGCAACCCTTCTGGAAAGCAGTCAGGGGAAGTTGTGAAGATTTTGGGGTAAAAGTTTTAATCGTTTGCACTGACTTAAGTCAGAGGATATGGGATCGAGATCTACAAGATGAGACAGATTTTGTCCCATGGATCTGAAAAGCAGGCTCATCTGCTTCTGAGGCAACTGAATCTAGGGCCCCGTGAGAACATTCCCATCCTAGTATCGCATTCTTCCATTGAGACTATTTTACGTCCTCGTGCCATGACTGGACACCGATTTGGTCTTGTGCGAAGTGCCATTTGCTTCCTGTGACCTGCTCTTCTGAATTTGTTTACAGAAGCTCGAGAAGATGACAATGAAGAACGGAGATACAGAGACAGCAAAAATAAACTGCTTGTGAGTCGAGTGGTCTACTCCCTGGCCTGTCAGCTGACGACGGAAGGTAAGTTCTGTAGGTTCACCGTCACGGAAGTGCCGAGCAGTGTCCTGTCTTGTCTCTGAGAAACCGTACACTCTCTTTGTGAAAGTGAACTTCATCCTTTTCATACTTCTAGGAAAGTAGCAAAATGGGTATTTTAACATTTTGTTAAAGACGAAACGATGTAGCAGCATTTCCAGGTCTGCAGTAAGACAGGTGCGAGACTAGGGTTAACATCCCAGCTGTCGATTCCTAACACGGGCACCAAACCACCCGCTTTCCTCTGCAGGAGGCTAAATCACGTTTACAGGAACCTTCTCCGTACCACACAAGATCCTTCAGAACTTATAAGCAGGATCAAGGTAGAAATGTGGATGTCCTGGCTTCAAGGGCAATGAGTAGCTAAGAACAAGTTGACTTTAAGGTGATGGAGAGTGCAGATGAGGAGAGTAATTCGGGGAAATAACATCTTGAAATCAATAGGCAAGGCTGTCAGTGACATCCCTCAGTCCTGATTAAACCAATTTGACGTCACCAGTTTCTAACCCATCATGTGTTTGGGTTTCTTCTTTCCAGTCCCTGGCTTTCCGTGTTCTGCCCCGAATGTCATCACGGTGGCATCTGGCAGGGCTGTTGCCGGAAAAATCCCAGGGGTGAACGTTCCAGAAGCCATTGAGAAATCCTGCTCCCGGCGGGAAGATAACAAACAGGATGTCGGAGTCCGCCAAAATAGATGTCTTCTGAGTGAGGTGGACTACTCCCTGAACTACCGGCTGAGGGCATACGGTGAGTTCCATAGGTTCACCTCCACAAAAGTAATGAACCGTGTCCTGCCTCGTCTCGAGAACCTGACCGCTCTCTTCCTCAAAGTTAATCTCGTCTTTCCCGTACTCCTACAAAATAGAAATGGGTGTTTTACCATTTGGTTAAAGATGGAAGACAGAGGCCAGAGTGTTTAGCAACTTTTCCACGTCTGCAGTAAGGTGGGTGTGGGACTGGGGTTACAATCCCAGCTATAGATTTCTGACGCAGGCACAGAACTACCTGTTTTTCTCAGCAAGAGGCTGAATCCATGTTGACAGGAATCCTCTCTGTACGGTACAAGATCCTGCAGAGAAGTAGCATCTAGTCTGTTGGTCCAAATGTCTGAGGCTGCTGAACTTGCACGTGGTTCCGGTTTTGACTGAGGCCCAGCAGGCAAAGCTGTGTGTGTTGGGGACCCTGGGGGAAACACAGCGATAGCAGACAGTACCTCCTGTGAGGAACTGAAAGGGGATCCTGCTCCTGAGAGTAGAACCTGTGGTATGTGTAAGTGGCCCCATCAAGAGCAGGAAGTACCCTGGTACCGGTGCCTCAGCCTCCCAATTAGCTGGGCCCCCCGGTGGGCACCACCACGCCTGGCTGCTGTTTGTGTTTGATGCAGAGGCGGGGTTTCTCCACGTTGGCCAGGCTGATCTCGAACTCCTGAGGTCAAGGGATCTGCCATCCCAGACCTCCTAAAGTGCGGGGATTCCAGGCATGAGCCACCATGCCGGCTCCACAGATCCTTTTTTGAAGTAGAGAGCTTGTTAAAAAGTACATCCGTCGGTCCAGTCTCCTGTATACATTTCTCTAACCCTTCGTTGGCTGTGATACAGGATGAGCTAGATGAGTATTGCAGCAACCCTTCTGGAAAGCAGTCAGGGGAAGTTGTGAAGATTTTGGGGTAAAAGTTTTAATCGTTTGCACTGACTTAAGTCAGAGGATATGGGATCGAGATCTACAAGATGAGACAGATTTTGTCCCATGGATCTGAAAAGCAGGCTCATCTGCTTCTGAGGCAACCGAATGTAGGGCCCCGTGAGAACATTCCCATCATAGTATCGCATTCTTCCATTGAGACTATTTTACATTCTTTTGCTATGACAGGACACTGACTTGTGCTAATTTAAAGTGAGAATTGCTGAATGTGACCTGCTCTTCTGAATTTTTTTACAGGTCATCAAGATTATAATAAAAAACAGAAATACAGAGACAGGAAAAATAAGCATTTTACAAGTCAAGCGGCCTTCTGCCTGGGCTCTGGGCTGAAGACGGAAGGTAAGTTCTATAGTTTCACCATAATGGAAGTGCTGCACAATGTCCTGTTTTGTCTCTTACAAATGATGCACTCTCTTCTTCAACGTTAATTTTATCCTTCCCATGCTTCTAGGAAAATAGCAATGATTATTTTAACATTTTGGTAAATCTGGAAGTCATGGCCAAGGTATTTAGCAACTCTTCCATGTCTGCAATAAGGTGGGTTTGGGACTAGGGTCAATATCACAGCTAATGATTTCTGACACAGGCACAGAACCACCTGTGTGTCTCAGCAAGAAACTAAATCATGTGTACAGGAATCTTTTCTAATATGTAGGATCCTGAAGAACTTATCAGCAAGATAAAGGTAGAAATGTGTATTTCCTGGTTTCAGGATGAATGAATAGCTAAGACAGGTTAACCTAAAGGAGATCAAGAGTGGAGATGAGAAGAGTCAAGGCAGGGAAACAACATGTCCAATAGGCAAGGCTGTCAGTGACATCACTCAGTCCTGATTAAACCAATTTAACGTCACAGGTTTCTAACCCATCATGTGTTTGTGTTTGTTCTTTTTAGTCCCTGGCTTTCTTTATTGTGCCCCAAACGTCCACATGGTGGCGTCTGGCAGGCCTTCCAGAATAAACCCAGAGGTGAATGTTCCAGAAGGCACTGAGAAATCCGGCTCACAACAGGAAGAAAACAAACCAAATGCTGGAACCACCGAAAATAGACTTCTTCTGAGTCAGGTGGCCTACTTCCAGAACTACCGGCTGAAGTCAGACAGTAAGTTCTATAGGTTGACCACCACGAAAGTGATCAATGATGTCCTGTGTTTCGAGAAACTCACGGTTCTCTTCATCAAAGTTTATTTCATTTTTCCCATACTTGTAAAAAATAGAAATGGGTATTTTAACATTGTTGTTAAAGATGGAAGACGGAAACTGAAGTACTTAGCTACTTTTCCACGGCTGCAGTAAGATGGTGTGGGACTGGGGTCACAATCCAGGCTATCAGTGTCTGACACAGGTACAGAACCGCCTGTTTTTCTCAGCAAGAGACCGAATTCATGTTTACAGGAATCCTCTCTGTACAGTATAAGATCCTGCAGACAAGTAGCATTTAGCTTGTTGATCAAAATGTCTGAAGCTACTGAACTTTTATTTGGTTCTGGTTTTTTGAGGCTTAGTAGTTAAAGCTGTGTCTTTTGGACCCTGCGGGAAATGTGGTGATAGCACACAGTTCCTCCTGTGAAGAGGTCGAAGCAGCTCTGCTTCTAATAGAACCTGTGTTATGTGTAGGTGGCACCAGCAAGAGCAGGAAGTACCCTTATAATGGTTCCTCAGCCTCCCAGTTAGCTGGGATCCCTGGTGGGCACCACCGAAAATGGCTAAGTTTTGTATTGTTAGTAGAGGTGGGGTTTCACCATGTTAGCCAGGCTGGTCTTGAACTCCTGAGGTCAAGTGATCTGCGTTCCTGGGCCTCCTAAAATGCTGGGATTCCAGGTGTGAGACACCGGGATGGCTCCATGGATTCTTCTTTAAGTAAAGGTTGTTAGAATTTGTCCATCGGTCCAGTCTTTTATATAAATTTCTCTAACCATTCATTGGCCACGATATATGAGGAGCTAGATCAGTATTGCAGCAATGCTTCTGGAAAGCAGTAAGGGCAAATTTGGAAGATTTGGGAGAAAAGTTTTAATCATTTGCACTGACTTAGGTCAGAGGATACATGATTAAGATGTACCAGATGAGGGAGATTTTGTCTTATGCATCTGAAAAGCAGGCTCATATACTACTGAGGCAACCTAATCTAGGGCCTGTTAGAACATTCCTGTCAGAATATCACATTCTTACACTGAGAATATTTTACATCCTTGTGCTATGACAGGACACTGATTTGGTCTTGTGTGCAGTGCGGTTTCCTTAATGTGACCTTCTCTTCTGAATTTATTTACAGAAGATCGAAAAGGTCATGACGAAGAACAGAAATACAGAGACAGGAAAAATAAACTTCTTATGAGTCAAGTTGCCTACTACCTGGGCTGCCGGCATAAGACGGAAGGTAAGTTCTATAGGTTCAGCATCACAGAAGTGGTCAACAATGTTTTTTCTTTTTTCTGAGGAATTATACACTCTCTTCTTCAAAGTTAATTTCATCCTCATACTTTTAGGAAAATAGCAATGGGTATTTTAACATTTTGTTAAAGACGTAACGCAGAGGCGAAACTATTTAGCAACTTTTGCACATCTGTATTAAGACATGTGTGAGACTAGGGTTAACATCCCAGCTACTGATTCCTAACACAGGCACCAAACCACCTGCTTTTCTCTGCAAGAGGCTAAATCATGTTTATAGGAATTTTCTGCGTACCATATAAGATTTTTCAGAACTCATAAGAAGAAAGAGGTAGAAATGTTTATGTACTGGCTTCAATTTGAATGAGTAGCTAAGACAACTTTAAGGAGATCAAGAGTGGAGATGAGAAGAGTAATTCGGGAAATAACATCTTCAAATCAGTAGGCAAGGCTGTCAGTGTCATCCCTCAGTCCTGATTGAACTAATTTGATGTCACCAGATTCTAACCCACCATGTGTTTGTGTTTCTTCTCCCCAGTCCCTGGCTTTCTGTTATCTGCTTCAAACATCAGCAAGGTGGCATCTGGCCGGCCTCCTTACAGAAAATACACAGAGGTGAACGTTCCAGAAGGCATTGAGAAATCCTGCTCCCAGCAAGAAAATAACAAACCGAATGTCCCAGTCAGCAAAAATAGATGTCTTCTGAGTGAGGTGAACTACTCCCTGAACTGCCGGCTGAAGACCTACAGTAAGTTCTGTTGTATGGATGAGTAAGTACCGACCCATTGGTTCAGTCTCCTATATAAATTTCTCTAACCATTCCTTGACCATGATATAATGAGATAGATCAGTATTGCAGCAACCTTTCTGGAAAGTAGGGCAAGTTTTGAAGATTTTGGGAAAAAAGTTTTAATTGTTTTCACTGACTTAAGTCTTAGGATATAGGATTGATTTCTACAAGATGAGACAGATTTTGTCCCGTGGATCTGAAAAGCAGGCTCATCTGCTTCTGAGGCAACTTAATCTCGGGCCCATTAGAACATTCCCATCATAATATCTCAATCTTCCATTGAGAATATTTTATGTTCTTCTTCTATGACAGGACACTGATTTGGTCTTGTGTGAAGTGAGATTTGCTGAATGTGACCTGCTCTTCTGAATTTGTTTACAGATGATCAAAAAGATCATGATGAAGAACAGAAATGCAGAGACAGCAAAAATAAACATCTTAGGAGTCAAGCGGCCTACTACCTGGACTGCCGGCTGAAGACGGAAGGTAAGTTCTCTTCATTCACTATCACAGAAGTGCTGAACGATATCCTGTCATTTCTCTGAAAAACTGAACACTCTCTTCCGCAGAATTTATTTCTTTGTTTTCATACTTCTAAGCAAATGTAAATTTGTATCTTAACATATTGTTACAAGCGGATGAGAGAGGCCAAAGTATGTAGCCACTTTTCCACATCTGCAGTAAGGTGGGTGTGGGACTCCATAACATCTCAGCTATGATTCCTGGCACAAGCACAGAACCACCTGTTTTTCTCAGCAATAGGCTTAATCATGTTGACAGGAATTCTCTCTGTACCACATGAGATCCTGCAGACAAGTAGCATCCAGTCTGTTGGTCTAAATGTCTGAGGCTCGTGAACTGCCATTCAGTGCAGGTTTCTGCTGAGGTCCAGTAGGCAAAGGTCTGTTCTCGGGTCCTGGGGGCAATGCGGTAATAATACACAGAACCCGCTGTGGGGAGCTTAAAGAGGACTCTGCCCTTCCATAATCTGATGAAAGGCGGTCTTTGGAACAAGAGGCAGCATCTTTCCAGGTGTAAAGGACAGGAAGGAAGCTGTGACAGGAGAGGGGTTGTTGGAGTGGAAAGATCTGTGGATTGAGAATGAAGGTTCCCAGGCTGTATCTTCAGCAGTGTCTTTAGTAACTGTCACTGAGCACTTGATTTCTCTCCTTCCTTCCTTTCTGTCTCTCCATCTGCAAAGTCAGGCAAATTTCTCTCTCTCCATCTTCAAAGGCAGACATCTTGCAGTGCGAACACTTATGACCGCTTATCCAAATGAGGTAAAGCCCCTCGCTTTGTGATGTTGGGACCACAGGTGCCCATCACCACACCAAGTGAACTTTTTATTTTTGGTAGAGATGAGGTTTCACCATATCGGCCACGCTAGTCTTGAACTCCTGACCTTAAATCTTTCACCTACTTTGTCCTTTCAAATCATAGGTTTGGTTTTGTTTTGTTTTGTTTTGTTTTGTTTTGTTTTGTTTTGGAGGTGGAGTCTCTCTTAATCAGGCTGGGGTTCAGTTGCATGATCTCAGGTCACTACAAACTCTGCCTCCTGGGTTCAGATGATTCTGCTGCCTCAGCTTCTTGAGTAGCTAAGAGTGTAGGCACGTGCCACCACGCCCAGCTAATTTCTTTGTATTTTTAGTAGAGACAGGCTTTCACCGTATTAGCCAGGATGGTCCCGATCTCCTGAGCTCGTGAAGTGCTCACCTCGGCCTTTCAGAGTGCTGGGATTACAGGCGTGAGCCACCATGCCCAGCCCAGAGGTTGTTTTTTGTTTGTTTTTGCTTTTGTTTTGTCTTTTTTCATTCCTTCTCCCTAGAGACTGTCAAAAGTTGTCAATGCCGACTCTATTACATGTCATCTCGGCGGGGTATTGGGATTGTTTTCAATTAGTGATAATCTCATCTCAGATAAACCCCATTGGCTATGATACTGCCACTGCGCAAAGCTTACAGATTCTATTTGCAGCAAGTGTTGTTAGAATTTACATATCCATCTCGTTTCATGTATACATGCTTCTGACCATTCAATGACCTTGCTCCCTGGTGAGATAAGTCAGTATTGCAGCAACACTCCCGGGAAAGAGTTTGACTTATTTTTGGAGAGTTTCTGGGAAAAAATTTGGTTTAAGTTTGCATAGACTCAGGGAGAGAATATGGCATTATGGCCTACCCATACAGGGAGCTTTTGGCCTGTGCATCTGGAAAGCAGGCTCATCTCTTCACCAGGCTTCATCTGGGGCACCCTAGAATCTTCCTGTCAGAATTTATATTCTTGCCCTGAGAACATTTCTGTGCCTGTGCTATGACTAAACACTGATTTGGTCATATGTGAAGTGTGATTTGCTTAATGTGACCTGCTTCTCTGAATTTATTTACAGGAAGTCAAGGTGATGTTGAGGAAGAGGAGGAGAAAGGGCCAGTGCCCCCCAGGTAACGCTGTGGAGCTGTGGGCTGTTAGTTCCATAGTGACACCTGGAGACTGCAGATCCAGGAAAAGGAGAAAATGATGACTAGAACTCTGCCTTCCATTCACCCAGCTACAGATTGTCCTCATTGACAGTGCTGTGGGTGATGTGTGGCACTTGTATAGGTTTTAATTTCTTAGTCCTCCCAAGATAGGGACCTGCAATCTGCTGAGCCAGGTGAACTCAGCAAACAGGGATTTTTTGGTTTCCCCTGTTCTCTCCCATGGGTTTAATTCCAGGGAGAGATGCGGATATGCTTTCTACCCATTTGTTGTTAGCATGTTTTCTAGGATTTGTGAAGAGAAGAAATTAAAAAAATATACATATGCTATCAAAATACTGGAAAAGGGAGGCCCTTAGTACACAAGATCTGGGTGTCTGAAATGCCTCAGGAGCTCTGTTCACTTGAATGCTGCATGTAAAATTCAACACAACTTATGCCAGGTAGTTGAATCCCCGTGTTAGTGCTCGTGTTGCAGTTCATGATGGTAGTTTCCAGGGAGTCTGGGTGGCCTGCAGTGGCTCATCTGTGGCAAATGCACTGAGCATCTGCTGCTCATTTGTGCTGTGTCCCCAGGGTAGTCACCCTTCACCCTGCATTTAGAAGGATAGTTTTTTTTTCTCTTGAAGGAAAAATGCCTTTGCTTTTTGTGACCACTCCATTGTGACTTCCATCAGATCAGCTGGGGGACTTCGTTGTCTAATCTCTGTTGGTTTTAATCTGTCGTCCTGTCCTGCCTGGCTCATCAGGAATCTGCAGGAGTCTGTGGAGGAGGAAGCCCCCCAGGAGTCCTGGGATGAAGGTGATTCGACTCTCTCAGTTCCTCCTGGCCCATCTGCCTTCAATAAGACTTTGAGGAGCAACTTGCACTCATTAGAGGAGCAGCAAGTCATCTCGGCTGTTGACATAGACAGTGAGTACTCCATTGTGAAGGCACTAAAGCTCCAGTTTGTGTCCCAGATAGACCCCCTAGTCTTTGGGCATTGCTCCCCTGGCCGGGCTGAGAGTTGTCATCACTGTGGGCTGAGCCTGTACGTGAGTGTAGATTTCAATCACTCTGGATTCCAGTCTGAAGCACCGGCATGGGGTGAGCTTTGCCCTGTCTCTAGTCTCAGGCCATGCCCGTCGCACCCTGGACCGACTGTCAGGACATTGAAACTTAAGGCAGGTGTTGCACACTCACGCCAAGCTCTGCAGCACATGCCCACAAGTTGTCTGTCAATCTGAATTAAATGTCTCTTGCCAGCTACCAAGTTCCTCATGAGTTTTGTTCCCCAAGCATGTCTGTGAGGTTCTTCCCTGTTTGTACAAACTTGGTGTAACTGTCTGTAGAAACTTGGGATAAAAGGATAATGGTCTACCAGAATAGGGACATTTCATCATTGGTCTGAGACAGGAACCAAGAAATCTCTCTCATGATTGGCCTTCAGACCTCCTGAAGTCTGTCTCTCACATTATCCTGCTCTCATGTTGAGGAGCCTGAGGTCCCTGTGCAGGGATTAGACAGTGGACGGTTATGGGTGTAGGAGAATTGGCTTATTTTGTCTGTCCCTGTCTGAATTTATTGCAGAGATTAAAAATGACCAAGCAGAAGAAGAAGACCAAGGCGCACCATGCCCCAGGTAACTTTGAGCAATTGTCAACAGCTAATTCTGTGTTGACACCTGGAGACACCAGGTCCAGGGAAAAGAGTGGGCTGACAATATCGATACCATGTTTCCAATGAAGCCTGAATGATTTCTACTAACATTGCTGTTGGTTTTCATTGCGGTAGATACTTAGGTTTCCATTTCTCCCTCCCCCTATCATTTACTAACTACCGTAGGTTGACGATACTTGTTTTTATGATCAGTGTACGCTGTGTGTCCTGAGGGTACTCACTCAGAGTGTCCTTTTACTCCCTCATCAGTGTGTCACCTGGACGGATCACTGAGCTTACTTTCCCTCTCTCTTTGATTCTTTTTTACCCTACTCCTGCCCATCCCGACATAAAGCAATAATTTATTATGTCATTAATGGATCTATGTTTTTTCTTTATTAACCACTTTCTTGTGCTCCCCATGAAATCTAGTTGGGGCTCTGCAGTGTCTTATTTTCCCTGACTTATTCTTTGGTTTTTCCTCCTTTTCTAGGCTCAGCATGGAGCTGGTGGAAGCAGAAGAACCTGAAGTCTTCCGGTCCTCACTGGATGTATTGTATTCAACTTATGCAGCTTATCCTGAGTTTTATTTCACATGCCAGGCTTACACATATGTTATTTTTTTATTTGTGGAAGAGCGTGTTCGCTTGACTTTGGACATGGACAGTAGGTTTCTTACTACGACGGTGACAAGACTCCTCCCCCTGGTCTCCCGGGTAGGGGTCATATTTCCACACTAAGACAACGTGTCACGTGGGACTCTGCCGGTGCAGAGTATGAACACCACCATGTTCTTGCTGAAACACTTAGCCTGAGTTTCATAGCCTGAGGTAATCTCCAGACAACTTCAGAATGTAGAGCAGTGAGCAGCACAAGTGACCTTTCTCCTTCAGAAAGCCCATGTCACCACAAATCACACAACTAAAAGGAGAAGAGACATTTTGGGTTGAAAAAGAGTAAAGAGATAATGTAGCTACATTTCTTTTGTTCTTTTGAACCCAAAGTGTCTCCTCACCTTTTGTTGTTGTCATTGATGGTGGTGACATGGGCTTGTTTGTAGAGGACAGGTCAGCTGTCTGACTCAAAGCTCTACACTCTGAAGTTGTCTGAAAATGTCCTCATTAAATTCAGCCTAAGTGTTTTTCCAGGAACACTGCAGGGTCAATGCTACCTCACCCATCTGCAGGCAGAGAAGGTCCTGTGTGTCTCCCACCGTGATTGTGATACCAGGACTGTTCCACCATTTGTCTACCACCATGTTCGTGGTACCAGGACTGTTCCACCATTTGTCTACAACCATGATTGTGATACCAGGAAACCACCATTTGTCTATTACCATGACCGTGATACCAGGACTGTTGCACCATTTGTCTACCACTATGATTGGGGTACCAAGACTGTGTTACCTTTTATCTACCATTACGATTGTCATACCAGGACTCTTCCACCATTTGTCTATCACCATGATCGTGATACCAGAACTCTTCCACCATTTGTCTACCATCATGATCGTGATACCAGGACCGTTTCACTATTTGTCTATCACCATTATCGTGATGTCAGATCTGTACCTTTCAGAGACAGCTTATTTATACCGAAGTAATTGGAAAAATGGTTTTTAAACGTATTAATATGCTGTGTTCAAATGACCATCCCCTAAACATTTTCTTCATTAATCATCCCTGGTGGTGTCCATTATTATATTTATATCTCTCTACTGGAAATTTTCCATTTTTCCTGTATCTTTGCTTTTCCTAGTTTCTGTTGTTGGAAAAAAAATTTCCTGCCTGCATTTTAATTTTTGCCAAAGTTAATTTTAATCTATACTATTAAAATGTTTTCTCTTAAGACTGTCAGCACGTAAGGCCACAGCAAAAGAGAGAATTCACTGATTTTGAAGCCTTTTTTGATTTGTTGCTGACAAGAGACATAGTTTTCTTAGCTGCTAATAACTATTTGAGCAGCCAGGAAAGGTCTATCAGACTAAGGACATGAAAAGCCCAGGCCATTCTCTTTGAGTCTTTTAAACTATTTCAAAAGAGAAGAGAATAGGTAGATTCCACATATGTGGACAGGAAGGAGAATACACTAAAAGCAACAGACAATTATTTCCCAAAACAGAATAGAAAACTAGATTTAAATAAACATACACCATTAAAATTTATTAAACATTTTCTCATGAAATGTAATCTCTCTAAACTTACCTGTTATATGGAAGTCAGTTCTTAATATTCCACACTGCATTGACTGTTGACATTCATAAGAACATATTTCCAAGTTTATTTGAAAATGCAAATGGACTGTAATTTTTTTTGCAGTAATCTTTTTAAGATTGAAGATTTTATTCAAAATAAAACCAGAGATTTTAAAGATTGAAAATGACATTAAAATGTATCTTCTCAAAATAATGATGTTTAACTGTGTATCTTCTGTTTATAGTGTAACTGTCAAGTGATCATTTAACCATTCTTTAAATATTTCAAATTACTGGGGACATGTACATACACATAATAAAGCAATGCCTACTCGGTGAGGGGCTGCCTTGTGAGCAACCCCAAGGGCCCTGGCTCATGAAGCCCTTGGCTAGAAAGGTGGAGGGATCAGCCAGGTGGGCACACAGCAGGTTTCTTGTTTGCTTTTGGCAAACACACACACAAATAGCACCTGCTCACTGGAGTCTCTGGCAACCCTGACCAGGCTTCATGATGGGTGAGGTGGGCTAGAAATGGGAAAGTGGATGACCCCAGACCTAGAGACTGCCGCTGTCACCTGGGCACCTGGAATGTGCGTGGAGGAGTCTCCCACAGATTTGGGCCTGGATCAATGCCCAAACATGCACAAGGACAGGACTCTTGGCCTGGATGTTTGCAGAGCTCCCAGTCTTCTAAAGAGGCTGGTGGTGGGGAAGAAGGTTCAACAAAACAGCAGAGTTATGGGTACTCGAGCTTGGCAACAGAGAATACCTCCCTGTACTACTAAATGACAGTATCTGACAATGATGAATGACACTTGAGCAGCAGCTTTCACTGTTTCACAAGCAGTGTCTCTGGACCACTAGGTTGGTGCTGTCAGATGTTGACTGAAACAGTGGTTCGAGCCCATCCAGTCACATTAATGTTTCTAGCTGACATGACCTTCCATCTGAAGAGTCTTCCTTGGACCAAATATATCTTAAAACTTCTCTTCAGGCCCGGTGCTGTGGCTCACGCCTGTAATCCTAGCACTTTGGGAGGCCGAGGTGGGTGGATCACCTGAGGTCAGGAGTTTGGAACCAGCCTGGCCATCATGGTTAAACCCCATCTTATATAAACACACACACACACACACACACAAACTTGTCTCTTGTCTATTTTCCAACATGTCTCTTTGTTGCTTGGGGCAAAAAAACTCCATTTTTAATCTCCCCCCAACAAACATTTTCCCTTATCTTGGTGTTTCAGGTTTTGAGTTTGTTTCCTCAGCTGTTCATATTTGGAACACTGGAAATTTCTAAAATGGAGAATGACAGAACCTGAGTCACACCTCTGGTGAAGCCACAGACTTCGGGGGAGAAATCTAATCTGCCAGGGTCTGAAGTTAAACACATGAATTTTTTGTGCCTCCATTTCTATGTCAAATGCACTAAACCAGAATACTCAGGTTGCCCAATGTTTAAATGAGCTGTGCAGGAAAAGCGTGGAGCCCAATGCCTCTCACATAATTGTTCAATACACATGAGCTCCTATCAGTGCCATTGCCGCCAGCATTTCCATCAGGCTTTGATCTTTTAAACATCCTTCTTGATACAAGTGGATCATTCTTCAAACCTTCTCTAACTGATGGCTGTGAAATTGTTCCAATGTGTATTATTAAAAACACAGCTGCAGGGATCAGACTGACACATACATCTGTCGTGCATCCCCTGTCTACTTCTGCGCAGATACCTGGAAATGGAATGGCCAGATCAAGGTATTTATACATTTCGGATTTTGCTAATTTCTGCCCAAATTACTGTGGAAAGACGATATAACAAGTCACATTGTTAACATTTTGTGAGAATATTTTCTATCTCCTTCTTCTGGCCAAAACTGGGTAGTATTGCCTACCATTTCCTCTGAGCTTCCTTTGCCAACATTTCTGTAGTCATTCGGTGGGGACACGTGTTATGCATGACATCAAACTCAAATCCTTAAAGGAAAAGAGGGATTAACATGACTGTACAAATTTATATTCAAAATACGATGAATAGAAATATATATGTGGATGTAAATATAGACACAAAATATATGGCAAAATGTTTTTTATTTAGGATACTTCATCAGAGTTATGTATACTTCAAAATTTGTTTAGTAAAACAGCAGGCCCCATGTGTACATAATTATTCAGCTCCTTATCTCTAAATAGCTATTATTAGTCTTTGCTTTCTGAGGTTAGGCCCTATCTCTCCTTCAAATACTCGCTCATCACCACCACCCCCAAACATGCCTCTCAACACCTCACCCTCTAACATGTTCGTGTCCTGATTTGCTGAGTCAATTACTACATTATTATAACTTGTACATTTTATTCAGAGCTCAGTCACATTGGATATACACAGCAGGAATGAAGGACCAGTATCTTCCGGGTCTCTCTCTCAAGTGGATGAGCTTCAGAGATTCATGTAGTCTTTGGCCACCCTGCCTGTCTTCTATTCCAGGTAAGTACTGGATAGGATGGCCCAGCTCAGATCAGGCACTCTCTCCATGAGCAGGGGAGGGCGGGACATCTTCATGTGCAGTAGCAGAAAGACACTGTCCAAAGAGGGAGAGGCAGTTCTACAAAAGAAAGGTCAGTCTGGGTCATGGGCAGGCAAACCGAGGATGTGAAGAAAACAGTGTCTGCTCTGTGAGGGGAACATGCAGTAGAGGATGGATTCAGAGTGGGAGGAAAAGAGTTTTTGGAAATATGGGCCGTGGATATTCCTGTGTGAGCTGGAGCCACACGAGACTGTTAGGTACTTACAGGGAGCTTAGGAGAATCTGCACTCCCCAGCCTAAGAGACAGGTGAGGGAACTGTCCTGGTCACCAGACAGAGATAGGGTCTGGTCCAAGCAGCTCTGATGGGAAAGAAATGACAGGACATCTTCTCCTTAAGGTAAGGTCCTGAGTTCAGGTCTTGGTAGGGAGGGAGGCTGCCTTGGGCATTGGCAGCTGCAGATAGTTGGCCAGAGGAGGGCACTGAAATCTAGGTGCTATCACCTTGTGGTTCTAGTAAAAGAATCGCTGGTCGCGGTGGCTCACACCTGTAATCCCAGCACTTTGGGAGGCCGAGGCGGGTGGATTATGAGGTCAAGAGATCGAGACCATCCTGGTCAACATGGTGAAAACCCGTCTCTACTAAAAATACAAAAATGAGCTGGGCATGGTGGTGCAGGCCTGTAGTCCCAGTTACTCGGGAGGCTGAGGCAGGAGAATTGCTTGAACCCAGGAGGCGGAGGTTGCGGTGAGCTGAGATTGTGCCATTGCACTCCAGCCTGGGTAACAAGAGCAAAACTCCGTCTCAAAAAAAAAAAAAAATGCTTAAACCGCTGGCAGCTTCCTTTCATCCAGAGCATCCTCTCATGGAAAGGCAGAGCAAAACCAGCTTTACCCTCCTCTCCTCTATGTCTTGCGTAGGTAAATCAAGGTCCACTAGAATTCTGGGAACACCCATATCCTTCAAAGACTAGAATCATCATGGTTAACCTCTGAATTTTTTTTGACAAAGGATTCTCTCTCTCTGTCTCTCTCTCTCTGACGGAATCTCACTGTGTCACCAGGCTGGAGTGCCGTGGTGCGATCTCAGCTCACTGCAACCTACTAGTTTCTGGTTCAAACCATCCTGCCTCAGCCTCCGGAGTTTTGTATTTTTAGTAGAGCGGCTGCATATTGTTCGTCAGGGTGATCTCGATCTCCTGAACTCGTGATCCGCCTGCCTCCACCTCCCAAAGTGCTGGGATTACAGGCATGAGCCACCACACTCAGCTCTCTCTCTCTCTGTCTCTGTCTCTCTCTCTCTCTCTCTCTCTCTCTCTCTCTCTCTCTCTCTTTTTTAACTGTCATTCATTTAGCGCTTTCCAAATGCTTTTGAAGTGAAATGGTTCTAAGACTTTACGATCACATTTAATGCTCTGGTCATTCTTGCACAGGTGTCTGTGGCCAGTTTGTATTTCTATGGGACAGAGGAGCAGTCACTGTACAAAGGACAATAACTCTATCACAGCTTTCACATGGGTTTTATGTCATTCCATTCTCTCTCCTCTGTTGGCTTATTAGCTGTCACTCTCTGTTATTTTAGCAATTGCCTTAGGGCTTACAGCCTACGTTTTGTAACTTACCACAGTCTACCTTCAAGTGATACTATACCTGCCCTTCTGGCCTTGCTGCTGTCCCTGACATGCACTTTGCTTTTACGCCTGTATAAACCCCACAACCCATTGTTATTGCTTTTGTTTAAATGGTCAAATTTTTACAAAAAAGATTTACAAAATGAGAAAATAACTAGCGTAGTTACCCATTTCTGATGCTCTTCATTTCCTTGTGCAGATCTGGATTTTCATCTGGAATCTGTTCCCTTCTGCCCGGAGGACTCCTTTGATGTTCCCTGTGTTGTGGGCCGGCTGGTAGTGAATGTGGTCAGCTTTTGTACATCTCTAAATGTCCTTATTTCACATCCAGTTTCGGGAGTATGTTTTTCTGGCACAGTGCTTATTCTGGGTAAATTTCCCCATCCTCAGTACCATAAAGATGGTGTTTGCTGTCTGCTCCCGTGCACTGCTGCTCCTGGTAGAGGCCAGCAACAGCAGAGAGCAAGCTGATGCCATCTGGTCTTTGCTACTGTGCATGCACAATGCCTTTCTTTTCTGGCTGGATTTGAGCAACATTGTTATGATGTATCTAGGAGTAGTTTTCTTCGTGTTTCTTATGCTTCAGTTTCCTCAGCTTCTTGGGTCACTGGATTTATAATTTTCCTTATGACTGGGAACTTTTCAGCTATTACTTCTTCAGAAATGGGATGGCTACAGTGGCTCACACCTTCATAAAGCCGAATTGGGAGGTGTCAGAGTGAGGCCTAGAGTTCGAGACCAGCCTGGGAAACATGTTGAGACCACCACCCCTGATAAAAATAACAAAGAAAGTAAATGTTTCTTTTCCACCCTCCTCCTTTCTGGCCACTGTTGTATTTCTGTGTGTGTGTGTGTGTGTGTGTGTGTGTGTGTGTGTGTGTGTGATGGAATTTCGCTCCAGGCTGGAGTGCAATGGCGCGATCTTGGCTCACCGCAACCTCTGCCTGCTGGGTTCAGGCAATTCTCCTGCCTGTCTGTCCTCAGGATAACTGAGGAGGCCTTGGAAAACTGGAGAGATTAGAGACCCGTGAGTCGCTGGGGTCACGTTGAACACCCGCGCATTG